AGTCAATTTTCACTATTAAATTTACCCACAAAATCCACTCAAGCTCTTGGTCACATGTTCAGCTATAATACATAAATATAACCATTGCTAACATGAACACAAACGATAGAATTTCACAGATTCACTTTAGTATAAGTTAATGCTCTGAGCTTTTATTTTCAATGTTAATTTTATAAGAGAACTTTCTATAATCAGAACTAATGAATTTCCTGTCATTAATAATTCAAATGCTAACTTATTAATTGCTGTAACTATACTAAAGAGAAATGCATGCTCAAATGATGAGAATTAATAAAACTTTTCATCAATGTGACTTAGATAAATCTGAGGGCTGGATCGGTATGATTGTCACGAACATTAACATCCTCAGTATTTTCTTGAAGGGAGGTAATTGATTTAATGCCGAACAAAGGGACTTAATCTAATACTCATTATGTGTTTAGGTTTACTTAAAAGATTTTAAGTTAACTATGTAGGAACTTTCACATGAGATTTTGGTTTCACTGATGTGAACTCAGAGCCTCTTTATTGGAACAGCTGAGGTTTTATCATAATCAGGTATGTGGTGGTCCAGATATTATATCAACACAAGCATTACTACAGTATTGGTGTAAGTATGACTCAAATATAAGCCATATCAATAATCATACATAAACAGGGCTTGATAACGCAACTGTTATAAAGATAAAAAAAAGATACATATTTTATAATACATAACATAACCATCACAACATCATTATGTGTTATAGAATAACAACAATAATACAAGTTGCCAAAAACGATATTCGTTACCAAAAACAATATCCCACGATATGTACTATTCATCTAGTGAATAGAGTTCACTAGGTAGATACATATTATAACATTGATACAAGGAGCCACAGACAGCTGACCACGCCCCGAAGGGTCACATTCTTTTAACACACACTGAATGGTACATAACAAGAAAAAATTCATGTTGATAACAAAGCTCCGACTAAATAAAATGTTCTTTCATATAACACAGACTCCAAACCCTCACATTCATATTCAACAGGTTCATTACCCTCATGTCCACAACACAAAGGCTAAATATCCTCACATCCACACCAGTTATGCTCAATAACCACACATCCACATAACAAAGGCTTATATACCCACATCCACATTACACATTCTCAATAGCCTCATATCAACAACACATAGGCTAAATAATCCGACATCCACATTACACATGCTCAATAGCCTCATATCCACAACACATGCTAAATAATCCCTCATCCACATTACACATGCTCAATAGCCTCATTACATAGGCTCTATAACTTCATGTCCACATTCCACAAGCTAAGTAACCAAATATTCACACATCACATGCTAAACAGCTTTCTGAAATTGCCACATCTTGTGTACTGAGCAGGTAAATACTCGACATAGAATTACCAATCTTGTTTTATTTTTTGATTTTATTGAAAAAATTCCCTGATTACTAGAATTTAGCCCTTATTGTATGCTTAAAAAGACATGCGCTCTTAAAAAATAATTATTACATTTGATAAAAAAAATTAATGAAAGAAAAGTAAATTGCTTCATGTAAAACGTTATGGGGTAAAGAAAGAATAAAATTCAGAAAAGTATACAAATTTGCCTAATATCTATGGTACTAGATTAAATGCAAACATGTAAAAAGTATTGATAGAATCAAGAGGTAACAAAAGACGTAAGGGAATACTGCTTTATACACAGCTAGTGTCCAGTACCTTCTAATGGATTAGATTGTTTTGCCAACAGAGTATATGTTGGGTATGACTCACTCATAACTGATAAGGGCCATAACACAGATAAAAATGAAACAATGGACTATGTGTAACAAAACACAAATCCTTACAGAAGTCTGAAAATTGTGTAAAATTTCACTGTTATGCCAATTACACTTCAAATGTAGATGTGACTGCAAAAAACTAGACAGAAAATGACTGACTTGGAGCTGGGATGGGCCATAACTCAGACAAAAATTAAAATACATGACAACAAACATGATTTATCAATCTACATATGTTCTTTTTTAATCACACCCATACTGGTCCCATCCACTCAAAACCCTCTCCTGAAACAGGACATAAATGCATACCATTGAACATTTAAACTACGCTAGACTTCATAACTTTGTTTCCTTTGAAGTTTTAAATACATAAGCATTTCCCAGAATTGCTGGAGTCCTGTTAAGATGACAGGGTTTATGGTAGATGGATTTCATGTATAACTGGAATGCTTTGTCTAACTAGACAGATATAATTGTGTTGTTTTTCAAGCAAATAGTATATTATGCATAAATAGATATCATCGGAAATGATCACAGCAGAATTAATATACAATAGTATAGCATTTGTTGATGGTTTTAAGGAATGGCAGAGAAAAAAAAGTTATATTGTTTACAGACATTTACCAATATGATATATCACACAATCTGAATCTATTTGACAACTGAGGCTGTGGAGACCCATAAAGTATACCCATAGACAGTCATTACTATGTTAACCCATAGGTCAACAATCCAAGATTAAACCCATAGACAGTCATCACTATGTTAACCCATAGGTCAACAATCCAAGATTAAACCCACAGACAGTCATCACTATGTTAACCCATAGGTCAACAATCCAAGAGTATACCCACAGACAGTCATCACTATGTTAACCGATAGGTCAACAATCCAAGAGTATACCCATAGACAGTCATCACTATGCTAACCCATAGGTCAACAATCCAAGAGTATACCCACAGACAGTCATCACTATGTTAACCGATAGGTCAACAATCCAAGAGTATACCCATAGACAGTCATCACTATGTTAACCCATAGGTCAACAATCCAAGATTAAACCCATAGACAGTCATCACTATGTTAACCCATAGGTCAACAATCCAAGATTAAACCCACAGACAGTCATCACTATGTTAACCCATAGGTCAACAATCCAAGAGTATACCCACAGACAGTCATCACTATGTTAACCGATAGGTCAACAATCCAAGAGTATACCCATAGACAGTCATCACTATGCTAACCCATAGGTCAACAATCCAAGAGTATACCCACAGACAGTCATCACTATGTTAACCCATAGGTCAACAATCCAAGAGTATACCCACAGACAGTCATCACTATGTTAACCCATAGGTCAACAATCCAAGATTAAACCCATAGACAGTCATCACTAAGTTAACCCATAGGTCAACAATCCAAGAGTATACCCACAGACAGTCATCACTATGTTAACCCATAGGTCAACAATCCAAGATTAAACCCATAGACAGTCATCACTATGTTAACCCATAGGTCAACAATCCAAGAGTATACCCACAGACAGTCATCACTATGTTAACCCATAGGTCAACAATCCAAGAGTATACCCACAGACAGTCATCACTATGTTAACCCATAGGTCAACAATCCAAGAGTATACCCACAGACAGTCATCACTATGTTAACCCATAGGTCAACAATCCAAGAGTAAACCCATAGACAGTCATCACTAAGTTAACCCATAGGTCAACAATCCAAGAGTAAACCCTTAGACAGTCATCACTAAGTTAACCCATAGGTCAACAATCCAATATTAAACCCATAGACAGTCATCATTAGGTTAACCCATAGGTCAACAATCAAAGAGTAAACCCATAGACAGTCATCACTAAGTTAACCCATAGGTCAACAATCCAAGATTAAACCCATAGACAGTCATCACTAGGTTAACCCATAGGTCAACAATCCAAGAGTAAACCCATAGACAGTCATCACTATGTTAACCCATAGGTCAACAATCCAAGAGTATACCCACAGACAGTCATCACTATGTTAACCCATAGGTCAACAATCCAAGAGTATACCCACAGACAGTCATCACTATGTTAACCCATAGGTCAACAATCCAAGATTAAACCCACAGACAGTCATCACTAAGTTAACCCATAGGTCAACAATCCAAGAGTATACCCACAGACAGTCATCACTATGTTAACCCATAGGTCAACAATCCAAGAGTATACCCATAGACAGTCATCACTATGTTAACCCATAGGTCAACAATCCAAGAGTATACCCACAGACAGTCATCACTATGTTAACCCATAGGTCAACAATCCAAGAGTAAACCCTTAGACAGTCATCACTAAGTTAACCCATAGGTCAACAATCCAATATTAAACCCATAGACAGTCATCATTAGGTTAACCCATAGGTCAACAATCAAAGAGTAAACCCATAGACAGTCATCACTAAGTTAACCCATAGGTCAACAATCCAAGATTAAACCCATAGACAGTCATCACTAGGTTAACCCATAGGTCAACAATCCAAGAGTAAACCCACAGACAGTCATCACTATGTTAACCCATAGGTCAACAATCCAAGAGTATACCCACAGACAGTCATCACTATGTTAACCCATAGGTCAACAATCCAAGAGTATACCCACAGACAGTCATCACTATGTTAACCCATAGGTCAACAATCCAAGATTAAACCCACAGACAGTCATCACTAAGTTAACCCATAGGTCAACAATCCAAGAGTATACCCATAGACAGTCATCACTATGTTAACCCATAGGTCAACAATCCAAGAGTATACCCAAAGACAGTCATCACTATGTTAACCGATAGGTCAACAATCCAAGAGTATACCCACAGACAGTCATCACTATGTTAACCCATAGGTCAACAATCCAAGAGTATACCCACAGACAGTCATCACTATGTTAACCCATAGGTCAACAATCCAAGAGTATACCCACAGACAGTCATCACTATGTTAACCCATAGGTCAACAATCCAAGATTAAACCCATAGACAGTCATCACTATGTTAACCGATAGGTCAACAATCCAAGAGTATACCCACAGACAGTCATCACTATGTTAACGCATAGGTCAACAATCCAAGATTAAACCCATAGACAGTCATCACTAAGTTAACCCATAGGTCAACAATCCAAGAGTATACCCACAGACAGTCATCACTATGTTAACCCATAGGTCAACAATCCAAGAGTATACCCACAGACAGTCATCACTATGTTAACCCATAGGTCAACAATCCAAGAGTATACCCACAAACAGTCATCACTATGTTAACCCATAGGTCAACAATCCAAGATTAAACCCATAGACAGTCATCACTAGGTTAACCCATAGGTCAACAATCCAAGAGTATACCCACAGACAGTCATCACTATGTTAACCCATAGGTCAACAATCAATCGTGAACTATGTAAGCGACTTGTGACATGAATAAATCATGTATTGGATCAGAAATGGTCGTGTTGTGCTCACTCTTTACGGTTATATTACATTTATTTAGTGAGGACTCTGTATACCTCAGGTATCCACGGCAGTTCTAGGAAGAATTTACCGGATTTAATCTATTGGAATCAATCATTTTGTTAACACGTAGGTCAACAATCCAATCCAAGAGTACACCCATAGACATTAATCACTAGGACAACTTATAGCTCAACACTACCGAGCAAACCCATAGACATTCATCACTAGGATAACTTATAGATCAATACTACCGAGCAAACCCATAGACATTCATCATTAGGAAAACTTATAGATCAACACTACCGAGCAAACCCATAGACATCCATCACTAGGATAAATCAACACTACCGAGCAAACCCATAGACATCCATCACTAGGATAGATCAACACTACCGAGCAGACCCATAGACATCCATCACTAGGATAACTTATAGCTCAACACTACCGAGCAAACCCATAGACATTTATCACTAGGATAACTTATAGATCAACACTACCGAGCAAACCCATAGACATTCATCACTAGGATAATTTATAGATCAACACTACCGAGCAAACCCATAGACATCCATCACTAGGATAACTTATAGATCAACACTACTGAGAAAACCCATAGACAGTCATTGCTATCTTAACCCACAGGTCTATACTTCAAGAGTAAACCCATAGACTGTCATCACTATGTTAAAACAATTTTCCTTTGAGTTACCCAGTAACCCATAAATACCACATAGTAACCAGATATACAATACATGAACCCCTAAAAACCCTCAAAATAATACCCAACAGATGATAAAACAGTAAACAGCAGTCTGTGCACAGAATTTCCAGTCAAACAAACGTTTGTTGTGACAAAATGTACTTATGGATTTCAGTCACTCTGACTGTAATATACATAGTATGTCCAGTCACACCAGCGCATGACTATGAGAGATTGCACTTGTGAATTTAAAATGCACCAGTACATGACTGTGAGAGGAATGTACCTTGAAGCTTTGGTCAAATCACAGGACAAAATTCCATCTTTTCATTAAAACATAAAGATACAGGAGATGAACCTATGTCTATTAATCCTTATGATAAGATGTGAAAGGAGATACCACAGACATTCAGTCAAAACAAAACATAGTAGGAACAGAAACCTCACAAGGATGACTTGCCAAAATACAGGATGTGACATTGATAAGCTCAAGACTAAGATTTCATAGGTACATCCTCATCATCATTGGCCTCCTCTATATTTTTTGCCAATTGAGTGAGAGCAACCTGATGCTGTTGTTTCATCTCACTGCGCTTGACCTCTGTGTAGGCACCCGACCCGCCAAGTACGACTGCATTACTTGTCCACCAAAGTAGAGGCTTCGAATCATGGTAATAGATACAAGCAATAATTGTCTGTGCACAAGCTTTAGCTGTTCCTGATATATTGTGTGTAAGAGGAGAGGTCACCTGGATTTGCAGACCTGTCACATATCCAATGGCAAACCCAAATATACCACCAATATTCATGTACAGCCAGAAGGTAGGATCCCAGAGCTTGGGGAAATTCACCACTTCTGGCACCTCACCAAACACCAACATGAGAGGCAGGAAGAGAACAATGGCATTGAGATTGTTGTAATAGGTCAGACGCCACACATTGTTATCCAACAGTGGAAGCACTTTCTTGGTGAAGATGGAATTTAAGGCAACGCTAGCGCTGGCCGCCACACCAAACAGTACGCCTATTACTGACAGTGACCCTACAATACAGAGAGAAGGCATTATCACATAAAACTCAAATAAGTATGACACTATCACTGAGGGGCAGTCTTAAATCTTAAATAAGTATGACACTATCACTGAGGGGCAGTCTTAAATCTTAAATAAATACGACACTATCACTGAGGGGCAGTCTTAAATCTTAAATAAGTATGACACTATCACTGAGGGGCAGTCTTAAATCTTAAATAAGTATACGACACTATCACTGAGGGGCAGTCTTAAATCTTAAATAAGTATGACACTATCACTGAGGGGCAGTCTTAAATCTTAAATAAGTATGACACTATCACTGAGGGGCAGTCTTAAATCTTAAATAAGTACGACACTATCACTGAGGGGCAGTCTTAAATCTTAAATAAGTATGACACTATCACTGAGGGGCAGTCTTAAATCTTAAATAAGTATGACACTATCACTGAGGGGCAGTCTTAAATCTTAAATAAGTATGACACTATCACTGAGGGGCAGTCTTAAATCTTAAATAAGTATGACACTATCACTGAGGGGCAGTCTTAAATCTTAAATAAGTATGACACTATCACTGAGGGGCAGTCTTAAATCTTAAATAAGTACGACACTATCACTGAGGGGCAGTCTTAAATCTTAAATAAGTACGACACTATCACTGAGGGGCAGTCTTAAATCTTAAATAAGTACGACACTATCAATGAGGGGCAGTCTTAAATCTTAAATAAGTATGACACTATCACTGAGGGGGAGTCTTAAATCTTAAATAAATACGACACTATCACTGAGGGGCAGTCTTAAATTTTAAATAAGTACGACACTATCACTGAGGGGGAGTCTTAAATCTTAAATAAATACGACACTATCACTGAGGGGCAGTCTTAAATCTTAAATAAGTATGACACTATCACTGAGGGGGAGTCTTAAATCTTAAATAAATACGACACTATCACTGAGGGGCAGTCTTAAATTTTAAATAAATACGACACTATCACTGAGGGGCAGTCTTAAATCTTAAATAAGTACGACACTATCACTGAGGGGCAGTCTTAAATCTTAAACAAATACGACACTATCACTGAGGGGCAGTCTTAAGGGCCAGTCTTAAATCTTAAATAAATACGACACTATCACTGAGGGGCAGTCTTAAATCTTAAATAAGTACGACACTATCACTGAGGGGCAGTCTTAAATCTTAAATAAGGAAATAAATAACTTTGGCACCAATCATTCTGTTAAACAAAAAGGGCCTAACACACATATATACTGTAAAGTTTGTGTTTTTTTAAATAGTCTAAATTTCCAAAGTTTTGTCTGAAGCTTGAAACCAAAATATTTTTTCAGAGAAGTCATAAAACAGAACATACATCTCTTTGTTATTTTCATGTTCAAGGTATCTTTTTAGCAGACTGAATCAATCCTCGAAAATATGTTAAAAATAGTAAATTTTAATGGTATACTTTGTACGAAAAGCTTGTCCCTGGAATTTACAAACAGCTGGCCATGAAGACTTCTATGAATATACCATTTATTGTTACAGTATTAGTGCTTCTCTACCGAATTCCTGACCTCTTGGTTTTTCCTGAAATGTTTTGTCTCACAGACAACTTACCAGCTTCACCTTCTTGATCAACTCCCAGAAAAAATCCTGCTATGATGACACCACAACATGCTAGGGCCTTGCAAGAGGTGGCTTGCTTCAGGATCAGATATGAGAATACCTGGAAGAAATCATATATCTGAATAATACTGGACCATCAGGCAATTATCACAACAAAGACAGCAGTAATGAATAACATCAAGGCAGGATCAGACTAATAATGGAAGATCAGTGACTAGAAATTTAAATTCCCAAATCACAGGCATGATATCTGATATTATGAAAGTGGAAAGTAAAGTCTTATTAATGAAGTCATTTTCATGCTTCTGGGCATTTTGGTCAGTCAGAAGAAGTTGAAATGTTTTAACAAATTTTCCCCATGTGACCTTACATAAGGGTCACGATCATTTTTTTTCCACAAAATTTGTAGGAACTCATCAAACAAATATCACGTTTACCAATGGTTTTGCCATTTTACATCGGAAGCAACAAAATTGATATTTTTGCCTGTTACCATGGTAACAGAAAAAAACCAAACAAAAAATGCACTGACAAGAGGCTATAAGCATTTATCTTGGATGGTTTTGGAGTCATGCTTTATACAACTGAAATTTGTAATTTGGCCTTTCCGTTTCCATGGTTAAAGAAAACATATTCAAATGCAGAATGTTGCCATAGCAAAATGCACTAATAGAGAACTAGCTTGATAACAAATGTTTTGTGGACATTGCCACCATGCAAAAAACAAGACCTTTCATGTCTCTGCATCTTCATCAATGTGTGGCAAATGTTTTCAAACTCTGAAGACTACTGAAGGACTAGAATACAGTGTTACACTTACCACATTAAAGACGGTGCTGAGAGAACGTCCAACATAGTAGAAGGCTACACCAACAAACTTGAGACAAAGGTTATTGCAGGTGATCATTGATACAAAAATAATGGACAATGGCAAAACCTGTAAATAAACAGACAGAAGTGGTTATCATACTACCAGACAGAAGTGGTTATCATACTACCAGACAGAAGTGGTTATCATACTACCAGACAGAAGTGGTTATCATACTACCAGACAGAAATGGTTATCATACTACCAGACACAAGTGGTTATCATACTACCAGACACAAGTGGTTATCATACTACCAGACACAAGTGGTTATCATACTACCAGACACAAGTGGTTATCATACTACCAGACACAAGTGGTTATCATACTACCAGACACAAGTGGTTATCATACTACCAGACACAAGTGGTTATCATACTACCAGACAGAAGTGGTTATCATACTACCAGACAGAAGTGGTTATCATACTACCAGACACAAGTGGTTATCATACTACCAGACAGAAGTGGTTATCATACTACCAGACACAAGTGGTTATCATACTACCAGACAGAAGTGGTTATCATACTACCAGACAGAAGTGGTTACCATATTACAAATCCATTCCTTTTTTACATATACAACAGACATTTTTACCCAAAAAATTAAATACTGTCATTGCATTTCATAAATTGCTTTTTTAAATTAAGAAAGATCTACTTAACCATTCTGAAGACAAAGGCTTTAAGAAATGTAAAGAATGAATGTGTCACCCAGGAAAGCCAACGAAAATAGCATCAACAACTCAAATTTGTAAAGTGTGGCTATAAGGTATAATTGATAAAGTTTATAAAACTGAAACCTGCTTTAAAGGCCATCTGTATATAACAAATACCTGTCTATTACAGTCACTGGTATTTGTTTCTAATTAATACACCCAGTAATTCAATAAGCTGTTATTTGACCTCTATATACAGGCAACCTGCAAATAAAGGTAATTTATCTCTGTATCCTTGAGTGGTCTTTATACACAGGGTTGAGAGTAGCCTTCATAGACAGGTTTAACTGTAACTTATTATATTAAAACATCAAGATTTATTTTGAAGTGAACTGATGATTAAGTTTATATCCCATCCCCCCTCTATCCCATCCATCAAGCCCCCTTCACCCTCCCCCCCCAAAAAAGTAAGGAACATTTTAAATAGTGATCTTCGTTAGGAGGTTAACTTAAAGATAAGGCCACAAATTATGAATGTACTACACACATGTTTACAACACACCATCACAACTTACTGATCTGTTGAGTTTGAAGTCTATCTCTGTAGATGGAAATGAGATCATGGTCGGGAACATTTTTGAAAAAAATCGTATGATAACACACAGAACAGCAGTCACCACACACTGGTACCATGTCACGAACAATGGCGCATTCAGCTGCAAACACAATCACTTATTATCAGATAAGCATATTTTTGTTGATAAATGTACGATAGAAAAAAAACTGAACTTGTTTACTAAAGTTATAAATTGAATATTCTGTCAAAAGCTATAATTTCTAACTCTGGGGAAAATGTGTACACATTTTTAATCTGATTTGCACATATGTCACGCTAAAATATTGTGTGGGTCAAGCAAATTTCTATATAAACCAACACTGCAGAAAATTTAGCAATAAGAAACCAATGAGTGAATTTTTAATGTTTTAACTTGAAAAAAAAAAAGAAAAAGAAAAAACACTGGATTACTATAAGGATTTATTAAAAGCTGACTTGTAGAATAGAAATTATGGATAAACAAGGACATTTTAAATCTGTCTACTTATCTCATTCACCAGGATAAAGAACAAGGAGGTATTTAATAAGCATTCTATTTACCTTTAGTTCTGGACTGCTGAGGAGGTACTTATTGGTAAAAACCATCGTAATGGATATCAACCTACAAACCAAAGAATATATCATTAGATGTGAAGACAATGGTTACAGCGGCATAAAGTATCAGTGTATCACACTACATACTACCACTGGTGTCGTTGATGTCATCATATTTGAATCATATAATCTTCCTTCTGTTGTATCTACCCCATAATAAATCCATGCCTGGTAATAAGCCAATTCATATCTACTGCTGTTTAATTTTAGAAATTCTATTAATCCCATCCCCTTACTTTGGGTTTATTGCAGAGTCAAAAATGGTAATAACATCCTAAGCTCTTAGAACCCCTCATCTCAAATTTGTGTAAAGCTGTTAGGGATCAATATTGATTTTCACTTTTACTACAATGTATAATGATATGTTGAAAATATTTAGATGTTTTACAAAAACAGAAAAAAATACTATTTTTAATCTGTCCTTTGGCATTTTAATAGTTTTCACTTTTACTACAATGTACATCTTGATATGTTGAAAAGATTAAGAAGTTTTACAAAAACAGAAAAAAATACTATTTTTAATCTGTCCTTTGGCATTTGAATAGTTTTACCATTACTGATAAATTAGAGGTGACACAACTTAAGAACACATTCTTAAATTCAAAGAAGAGTATTTCACGTCACCTTTATCTGAAGTTTTACTATTACATTTGATGTTTTCCTTTAACTGATGGTTTTAAAGACTCTGAATAGTTTGGTACCTGATTTCATTTATTACCTGTTAGTAAAAAATGAACAAGAGGTTGTTGCTCACCAGACATTGTCAAATCTTCACAAGCATGTTTTAATCATTGACTATTTTGTTTCCACGATTCTCAAAATGACAGTTTTCTAAATGCTTGTACACATACTTTGTAAAATTTTATTTTCCTTGCATACTCAAACTATTTCAATGGGTAGATCTATTGATCAATGATGAATACCGGTAAAAATGATACAGTATCAGAATGCTGATTTCTTCAGATGTATGGGTGTCTTTTGCCTTTTTGATCAATAAATCTATCATGTCAGTTTTCATTTATGCAGAAAAATATGGCATGTCGAGGAGGAAAAACTCACTATTTAAGCATATCCATAAATGATTTTTGTCAGAATCTATAAATCACTCGTTAACATCCATAAATCAATTATATATATCCACAAATCATGTTGAAATATGGATATCCATAAATTGAATTATGGATATTAGAATTATTTATGGATAGATATAAAAGGATTGATGGATTTTCATAAAAAGCTACCTTTTCCCCCCTTTGGCTGGTCAAAAGGGGGGTAACTCCGTGACATACTCAATAAGGACATAGTTGTTTTTATCTTCAGGGTGCCTTCCTAGTTTATACCATGTAATATCTTGTTATATCAATTTTATTTGTAAATTGTAAGCAATGTCCTGTGTGGGTTATAGACATGGTAAGTAAAAATCATGTACCATGGCAACATTTGGAGTTTTTCTGTGTTAGTGGTAATGATCGCGTTTCTATTGCAGCATTCAGAGCCTGTATTCATTTGTGTTAAATCACCTTAACAACCAAAGACAATTTTTACTGTCTGAAGACTAACTATACATTTCAATATGTTATGGTGGTGTACGCTGTATTAACTGCTTCATAATGCAATCACTTCCACGCATGTGTCAACTTGATTTTGGTAATTGAATACATAGCTGAGCACGGTAAGTCAGTCAAACTTCAAAAGATTTGTTGTCTGATAAATCTATGTGACAGTAAATTAAGATATCATCATTAAACATTTCGGTCTTACCAATATGCTGATACCACGACCGCAATCTTGGAATACTTTGTAAATAACGACTCCATTCTTGGATGTCTGTGATAAATCGTCACAGTCATTGAACATGAAACTTGCTCTCCCGTATGCGATTCGATTGCCACGAAGTCCACACAAAAATCTATATCAAACATATGTTTGATTATATCACGATTTCGTTTAAATAAAGCGTTCGCGTGACGTCGATCGAGGTGTAACTAATGTCTAATTTGTTACTTTTCAACACGGAGAGACAGGAAAGGAAAGGACATTAGTAAGAAGTCTTTCTACAATTAGTTGATTTGGCTGTAAGTCGTTACAAATTATGCTGCCATTGTGTTTCTTTTGACGGACAATGTCTTAATGTCCTTACTGTACAGTAAGCTTAGTGCTTAAACAAGTCCACAGAAAGGAAGAGGGAAATGGGACAAATAATAACATGCGCTATCCATTTTAATATCATTCTGTACGGGTTTTGTTTGGAGGGTTTTACTTGTATGAAGGTAATACATGCTATCATAATATCGTATGAATAGACGAAGACGTAAGATGTAATGTTTGTACACCATCTTTGACTTATTTAATTAGCATTGTTTGGTTTTTATAAGGTGACCACTAAAAGATGCCCCTGGAACCACACATGTGGCAGTTCCCTCAGAGGCTGAACACTGTCTGGAAAATCAAGAGCAGGGTGGCAACCTCGTCTGTTGGATTTATCAGTAAAATTTTTGTCGGTAAGTTTAAGCTTCCAAAAATCGACCTCGTACAATATCTCATTTATGAACGTGTCTACACACACGTGATTAACAAGTGATACACGCGAGAATCGTATTCAGATAGGATTTCATATCGATATTACGTCATATTCGCCCGTAGAAAGGTTATTGATTCGAATCGCATAATTGAAAATGCCCCTTTAAACTTTTTGAAATAAGGAAAAAACACGATGGTACTACAAGTCATTAAATTGTTTATAGGTCAAAGATTTGTTAGCTTAATCGTGACACCTGATACGTTATGTCAGGGACATACACGATCAACCTTATAGTCTCTGATTATGGATCTTTATTTAATACAATGAAATTCAAATATTTAATACTTTTGTCGAAAGGAATAATTTACAGTGTATATCTGCATGTAATGATAGGTTTCTGAAAAGAGAAAAACTGCAAAAAAAAAAAAACAACAAAAAACATCAAAAACCTAACAAGTTTGGTGACCAGGGATTTTGACTCGGATGGGCCATATATATGCCTATTTGTGTGTGGCCTTATAATTTTTAAAGATATATACCAAGTAATAAGTACATCCATATATGTTGCTGTTCAATCAAATTATAATTTCCAGTTGGCTCATTGCAGGATGAATCTGAGGATTTTCTCTAGTTATGCATACTTTCTTTTTTCTTATTTTTGAATATGCACAGTATAGATTAGTAAGAGTGTTTCAGTTTTTCAAGACAAACATTAGGGTCACTCTTACTCTTTATAGATAATCACCAACTTTTCATCAATATATGCATTATGTACTGTTAAATATTGAATATATGGTGTAAATGTGTATTTTTTCAGCATTGAATAATTTTAAGGTTGTGAACAAGCAGAATTTGACAAAGAACATAAGAGAAACGGGAAATGGCCGTGGACTAATAACAGTAACTAACCATCATAGTTGTCTTGATGACCCAACATTGTGGGGTAAGATTTTTTAAATTTCAAGTTATAATTACAAACATAAATATATGTCTGTGTTTTCTTCTAAGCCAGATAAAATATTGTGATGATTCATGATTATTCATTAATTTAATAGATAGGATTACAGATCTAACGTTTTTCTTTAATTAGGTATCTTTACAAATTATTAGCTTAATGTTGGTATGGACCAATCCTTCACACAACAACATGATATTAAAATGACGATTGCAGCCATGGTTGCCATTGAAGTAGCTTTCAGAGTAAGGGAGACAACTCTATCTACCTCTTATTTTATGTGATACATATACTTGGGTCATTGTCATAGTCATATCCAAAAGACATACCGGGGGTATATGTCAAAAAGTTTGTAAGCTGGTCAGACCACAGTCTCTGATCTGAGCCTGTGGTAACATATAAAAACCTGGATATGTTTTAATGAACTAAGTGTGTGATAGCAGACTTGAATCAGAAAAAATCTAGCAGGTGTTATGGTTTTGTGATGTGAATAATTTATTTTCAACTGCAAATTTTAATTCAGTGTTTGATGTACGAGGGAATGGAAATGCAAGTGGTTGACAAGACATGACCTAAACGTTTTTCTTGTTCTTTCATAATTGAAGCTATCTGGAATCAATATCACACAATTTCAACGTCAATTTCGTTCTAAGTAATTACTACAATGACTTATTTTGACTTTTGTCATATAGTGTTGTACTATTTTTTTAAGTCATATGGCAATAGGCCCTTGCCTGGTAACCAGCTTGCACATATCTATTTCTATTCAGTAGGATTACTGTCATTACTATCTCAGTGTCCAGCAATAAGCCCACCCCCTGACATTATCCTGTGGTCTTGTTGTATAATAAACGTACCGTACAAACAATGTTTGTAGTAGATAATCATTCGAGTTCATGTTTCAGGAATCCTTGGCTGGAACTTTGTGTTCGGGAAACTGGGCGAGAAGATAAGATGGACATTGACTGCTGACAATGTGTGCTATACAAACACATTCAATGCCAAATTTTTCTGCTTGGTCAAAAGTATCCCAGTTGTCAGGGGAGACGGCGTGTACCAACGAGGTGTAGACTATGCCATTGAAAAGTTAAACAATGGCGAATGGGTTAATATTTTTCCAGAAGGTAAGGAATGCTGACTTTCTGTTTTAGATGGGTTTTTTTTTTCTTTCTTTCTATTTTTTTTTTTACACTTAAGGAAAAATTTTAGAAACAAGGGAAATATTTTTTTGTTTTGAACACCACTAATGGCTGCCACAAACATGTTTCCATGGCAGAAAGTTTCAAAAATTTGTGTCTATTTCAAAATTATCATTTTCAGCGGACATGACAATAAAAGTACTCGAATTCCATAAAAATGACACTAATAGGACAGGCCAATGATTTAGGATCATACTGACAGAATTGTTGTAAAAGTATTCATCTGTTATGATACTATGTATGTGAGGTATCTCATTTATGACCAAATAATGATACTGGTACATGCACATCTCTTGATACAGATTTATAAATATTATGTCTTACAAGTATTGCCTATATTTTTTTCAGCCAAAGTCAATCAAGATAAAGAGTTCCTTCGATATAAATGGGGTAAGCTTTTTAATTTATTACAATGTTCAACAGCTTTCATTAATTGATTGCAGTCGGAGATAACTATTGATTTATTGAAAGGTGATGGCATTGTAACAGGGTTTTACTGAAAGATAGTGGCAGTATAACAAGGCTTTACAAAATATGATGGCAGTATAACAAGGCTTTAAAAATATGATGGCAATATAACAAAGCTTTAAAAATATGATGGCAGTATAACAAGGTTTTACAAAATATGATGGCAGTATAACAAGGTTTTACAAAATATGATGGCAGTATAACAAGGTTTTACAAAATATGATGGCAGTATAACAAGGTTTTTAATTGTGGCATGGTAACAAGGCTTTACTAAAAGATACTGGCAGTAAAACAAGGTTTCATTGAAGTGATGGCATTGTAACAAGGTTTCACTGAAAAAAGGTGACAGTATAACAAGGTTTTACTGATAATTGGTGACAGTATAACACAGTTTCACTGAAAGATTACAAGTGGTGAATTCCCCTTTGATATCTCTAAAAATGTTATGTCAGCAAAAGCAAGGCAACACAGACCTAAGATGGTCAGGAGGGTAGAGAACTGTAATAATCCATCCCCTTGCTATTGAGATCCCCTTATATAAACGCTAAAGATGTGGGAAAGATTATATTATTATAAGATGAAGGAATTTCCCTTTCATGAAAATAATGTCATGCCAGTTATGTCAAGAAATGAGAGAAACATTCTGAAGGACAGCTGTGTAAGAGAAAAATAATCATTCTCCCCCTTTAGGGTGAGGTCTGAACCCTTGGGGAAAGATTTTTAAGTCGAAAACACTTGGTAAGCCTCATTTTTACAAGCTTAATAATCCTCACCCTTAGGTTGTAACCTATCTTGCCATCAAGGAGATTAAACATTGTATTGTTCTCTTACCCTAGACAGATGCATACTCACATTTACTGATGTGAAATGTTCTTTTTTAACCTTTGGGTTGAGACGATACAAACTTGGATAACAATACATATATATATAAAAAAAAAACCGGCAGAAGGGTGGGAGACAAATCATCAACCCCCTTATTTGTGAGATCTAAACCCCCAGAGAAAGTTAAAGATAAAAACGATCAATGAGCTTCAAACTTAATTATCTTCCCCGCAAGAGACACCCACAAAAGGTGAAAGATTATATGTTCCTGAAGCACACGTGAATTGAGTTTATTCATAGATAATTGATTCATTGTTTACAAATCCATTGTTTTTACAGGTGTTGGGAGGATGATTGCTGAAGCTGAAGTATTACCCGTTGTCATACCATTTTTCCATGTTGGTACGTAATGAATATTTATAATTATTTATATAAATATGATACATATCCCTTGTAACCTATATGTCAGAAATTAAGGCAAAAGGATATATTGAGTAAGTATCACAATATTTTACTGATACTTGTGTCATGTATACAAACTCCTGAATCTTATTATTTAATGTGTCCATGTATTTGTCAATATTCAGGACATGTATTACAAGGACTTTGTAGGAGTTACCAATTCAAGTTCTGTATATATGTGTTATTCACTATAAAATATACATGTATATATACCTATTTCAATTACAAACTTTAAAGTCTCAGTGTCCGGTATGTAACCCTGGTAAAATATTAGCTGCAATATACCACAATATACCACTCGGTGTAGAGAGAATAATGACCACTGTTACATGTGTAGAAAATTGATAAAATAGAAATACTTCTGATCAGTAAAACATAAGCACTTTCATATCCAATCTTCTGACACTTCACATATATGCACCGTGGGTTGGGAAATTATGCCAAGTCCCTGTGACATGTATGATGTGAAATATAAGCAATGCTGTCCATCCACATTACCTTCTGTTACATGTGTAGAAAAATGATAAAAAAATTATTCAAAGCTTTGATTTTTGAAAAATTTATAAGAGTGATATGAATCATCATTTAATTTTTGATAATATTGGTAAAAATAACTGAAACTCTATCAGCTTGTAACAGTTGTAATCAACGTCCTCTTTCCACAGGTATGGACAGTGTATCACCCAACGAAGGCAAGTTCAAATATTACCCAAGAATATTCAAGGTATGATTTACATATTGTATAAATACTTGTATTTGTAACCAGCAGCATTTAAGAACTGTTTTAGTGTGGAAAGAGAGCCATATGTATGTCTACTATCCACTGTTGATCTTTGACTCCAAGTATTGTACGGATAAAATCAGTAACCTTGTACCTTACATGAAAGTTTTATACACTAGTTCTGACGATCGGTAGTACGAAAAATTCCATTTTTAGAAATTTCTTGATATTTTGGGCTAATTTAGAAAACTCTTCAAAACCCTCCTTCTGTAGGATTGATTCATTTTGTCAAAATTTGGTCTGAAGTATCCTTGTGTGAAGAGGACACAATTTGTATAAACTGTGGATCTGACCTCCTTGGGGGTAAAGGGACAAAGCCCAATAGGGGGAAAAGGGGAATCAGTTTAAAATCTTTTGTCTTTATTGGAAATTTAAGGGGACTCAATTTGTATAAAGAGTGCATCTTTTTTGGGGCAGAGGGGCAGGACTCAATAGGGCAAATAAAGGAATCAAGTAAAATTTCTTCTTGTTTAGTTGGGATGATAATATTGTGACTAACATCCTTTGGGAAGGGGAACCAAATTGTATGGTAGGTCTCAGCCCCCCTTTGAGTCAGAGGGATAGGACTCAGTTTGGGAAATAAATATGTTAAAATGCTTTTGTGAGAATCTAAAAAATTCATCTTAATTTGGTCAGAAAAAAACCTTGATGGAAGAAGAATAAATATTAAAAAAAACATGGGAATGCATTCTGTCCATAAAGATAGAGATATCACTTCAAAATTCTTCTACCTCTGTTTGGATGATGGTATTTTGACCAAATTTGGTCTTTAGCATCGTTTGATGTGGGGGATTCATTTTGTATAAATAAAAGATCTGGCTCCCCAGGTTAAAGAAGGGTGGGATCAAATAAAGGAAATGAGGGTGAATATTTAAAATCCTTTCTCTAGTTTGGATCAAGCAACTGTGACAGACAAGCTAGGCAATGCAAGCCCTATGTACCTCTTGTTAATCATTTAAAAGTTTTATAACTTTAAACATTTTTATTGATGAATATGTTTAGAAATATCTCTTTATATCTAGACATTATAAACATATCTTTTTAATGGAGAAATGATATATAAATGTTCATATGATTTCTGAGGATAATCTGTATGTACGTTTTCATATTTTTATATCTACGGTTCCCTTCTTTGTTTCCAGAGAGTCACCATGGTCATCGGTGAAGCAATAAACTTTTCTGATATTATTAATCAGAAGGATAAACTTTCACCAGTAAGTATTGCTTGGCTCCTTCAAACATTCACATAATGTTTTCTCATACGGGGTGGTACTCATATATTCTGAAACTTACTTACATTCTCCAGACCAATACAAGTAAGTGGATAGAACATAAGAATGATTTGTACAAATACATATAGAGCATGGGCTAATTGTAAAAAATTACTGTAACTATTTATGGAAAATCTTACACTTACTCGCATACTTTTGAATCAAAATAACAATTTATCAAAATGAGAATGTTTCTTTATCAGTTTAAATGTGTTCACTAACTGTAACTGAAGAGTAGAGTATAGCACATATAATAGTTTAACAGTGGATGTGGACTGTGACCACTATTATAATGGTGAAATATAAGCAAGATATTTTGTAGTCAGGAGTAGTTCATCCTTAATACATTTTTGTATGTCACAATTAGATTGTCAATTGTGGGGGAAAGTTTGACTGCATTATTGTCCTGAAGAAACCTGGGAGAGACTGTTGTATCACCTTTCCTCAGCTAATTTAGTGATATCATTCTAACAACTTGATTTCTCAAAGAGATTTTTAATTAAATAATGCAATGAAAATAATTTCAAATGAATTCCTGTTTAAAGATTGCCCATTCTGTTAATAGAAATTTGTCTACATGTGATCTTGACATGTACTGGAAGCCTGGGCATTCATGTCTTTTAGACTTTTTTATATCTACAATGTTGATTGGTCCAAAAGAGATTTTAATTATTGAATGGCCTCATAGCAATACTGGACAAAAATATCCTGATATACCTGCTACCCCCCAATAAAGTTATATTGTCCGTTTCCTGATTTCAAGAATGTCTATTATGCATTTCTCACAACTACTTGGTATCGGTTAAAGTTGTCGAATATTCTGTTGAATCTAGTATGAGATGAGTATGTATTCTTCCTCTCAAAATTTCCCCTTGAAATTTATATTTTAAGTTGAGTACATACTTACATGTAAATATATTGTGAAACATAATTTTTTATTCATATTTATTTTTTTTTTTTCATCTGTTTCAGGTTGAATTTAGAAAGCAGTTAACTGATTTGATTCAAGAAAAGATGGCAGAACTGCAGATGCAGGCAGAGAGTCTACACAATCAGACAGCTTCCTAACACAGACTTATATCCTCCACCAAGTGACCTTGTATCTCAGGATTCATCATCATATAGGACTGGCTGGGGGGAGGATAGGAATACCCTCTTACATGTACATCATCATACAGGACTAGCCAGGCTGAGAATAGGAGTATTTGTCCTAAATCATAATATAGGACTGATCTGACAGAGACAGGAAATATTCTCTTACAGCTTTCTATAGGACTGCCCAAGTGGAGGATAGAAATATTCTTTTATATCTGTGTGTCTAGAAGATTGTGTTTCTTCATATTTGAGTGGATAGTGTCCTTTCCTTTTGAAGAAACAGCGCATATCATCACCAAAAAGGACCTCGTCCAACGTGTAGATACAGAAAAGTACAAACAGAACTTTCATGCTCAAGCTAAGAAGCTTGAAGGATGATTATTCAAACAGAATTCTGTAAACATACTTATCTTAGCAGTGGTCATATTTGAGGACTAAAATTGTTAAATACAATTGTCCTGATTGGAGTTTCTGTATTTTGTTTCTATAATTTTGCACGCATTCATTCATCATTGCATTGATCTATCCCACCCCAGGACTCCAGGTCTTCTTTAGGGATACCAGTTGAAGAATTTTATGTTATTTTCTTAGAAGTAGTAAACAGGAAGATATGGATAGAAGTAATTCAGGCTCTAGTAGATATTTTATTGAAATAATCCACAAGATTTTTGATGTTATTCTACAGCAACAGAAATACACGAGTTAATATTTGTTTCAGAACCACAACTTTTCAAGACATTTTAAGGCAGGTTGAAGTGACAAAAGCATTAAAACAGATATATCAATTAGAAGAATGACAGCTATTGCGTGGAAGTGAAATTTTAAACTTTTCAATTTTTCTAAACATGTATGAAGGAATTATTTACCTTTGTAAGTAAATTTATGAGGATGGGTGTTTTTATTTAGCTAGTCATTGAATATATTAGATATATCCTAGTGATATTGATATGATACCTATGTGTGTTTTGATAAATTTTGAATGATGTTTATATATCAATTGGGGCCGAGTATTAAAGGGAGGTAATTTTTATTCCTAATTTTTAATGCACTATTGTTCAACACTATCATGTCTACACATTTGATGGTAAGGCGGACATTTTCCCAGATTACAGTGAGCAATGTCACAAGACACTATCACATTCCAAACTATACCTTTGAGCTAATTATTGTTTGTAAAATAGTACAGGCTCTATGTGTATGGAGGAAAACATACAGAATTACACACATGAACCCAGTTTACAGAAACGTAGAGCATATGTTTTACATATGTGCATACTGTTGCTTTTTTATTCCAGTATTGAATGTATTTTGAATTTTTGGGTGCATATTACTTTTTTTCTAGAGTTGTTTGTAGTTAATAAAGAATGAATAAATCTTGCATTTGAAGTTGTATTCAATACAGTACTAGGTTTAAACCTGTTTATAATGAATGATACACTTTGTGAAACTTCTAGGTGTCCTGAAGTTGGTAAAATCAACAGATCAACAAAGAATCACACAGTTTCATCATTCCTGTACTGGATATGAAATTGAAAAAAATATACAAGCTATGAAATGTTCCAGGATTGCTTCAGAAATACATCATGAAGCATTCCCTTTTCTTTCTTTTTTTTTCTATGCAATCTACTATTTTTTATGGTGTCACTACTAGCTAGCAAGCCTGACTTTGCTGATTGCATGTATGATAACTAAGTGTGTGGTTAATTTAAGTGGACTTTGAGTGGCTCTACCATTTGTAGGCATGGTCAGCTTCCTAACACTTGTAAAATCAGTATCTGAGTGGAGGCTTATATACGAAGTATCAGCATTGCACATCAGGAAACACCGGAGTCTCCAGTGATAAAATCACTATGAAGCATTTTCTTTGTCTTTGTGATTTATACACATTGTGAATGCCAGCAGCACTTGATTCACACTCAATGGTACTTTACTAGATTCTCTACATTCTGTCATACATATGTACAGATTAACCTGTCTAATCCGATGTCCTGTCAGAGACAACATATTGGTCAGGTTACCTGTCTAATCTGACACCATGATTTGATGGGACAGGATTTCACTTTTTAGCTCACCTGGCCAAAAAGGTCATGTAGCTATCCATCCATCGCCAACTTTGTCCATTTTAACGACATCTTCTCAATAACCAACAAGTAAAATGTCTTGATATTTGGCTGATAAGTTGATGGGATGATGCCCTACAACGTGTGCAAAAAGACAGATTTTCAGGATGAAACCCAACAAATATTGCCAATAGAAATGGACTTGACCAATATTCAAGGTCAGAGGGGTCAAATTTGTTACAACTTTAAAACAACTTCTTTTCATAACCCAAAAAGACTAGAAGCATGATATTTAGCAGGTAGGTCTCTGGGATGAAGCCTGACTAAGTTAGCAAAAAGAAATGACCTTGAACCATATTCAAGGTTACAGGGGTAAAATTTGTCAAAACCTATCAAAGACTTCTTCTGGTAAACCAAAAGTCAGAGAAACAGAATATAGGATGAAGAGGTTTTTCCAGGTCAAAAGCTTGACAATTTTTTTAGAAATAAAAAAGAATTGACATATACTTTTCTGATCAATCCCACAAAAAAAGCACCAAAGAAATATGCATCTTGCATCTACCACTGGAATAAGAGACAGATCCATATAGTACCTATGAAGATATAGTGATAACAAACCTATGCAGATATCATCATCTGTCAGTAGAGTGAAGTTGTGATATCACGTCATCCTTTTTGGTATCACTTAAATTGAATAAAAGGTCAAACTGACTCGAATTAGCCCATGGTCTTATTGAAGACTTTGAAGCAGAAGAGCTTACTCTTTTTGATCAGCTGGTCGCATTTTTCTAAACCTTTCCTTTGTTCACACTTTGCCCTTGTTTTATAGAATATAATACTCTTCAGAAGTTGATACATATATTTTTTTTTTCATGCGTATATATGTAAAGCCCCCTCACACTACCTGATACGATTGAAAGCGGATGTAAAACCAACCAAATACCCTACAGACCGACATGACCAAACGAGTTAAAAATTAAGACCGTTCTCTATTTCCGTAACATGAATAATACACATAGATGTGTCATAAAAGTAAGATGTTTCAATGGGATAGTTATTAAACTTTTGGCTGCCAAACAGTTTTCTTCATACTCCAGCTGAAATTGCCGGAATACATCTATGTAGAGTAATACGGGAGTTATTCACAAAATGAGATAATGATAGTAAAGGTTTCGTTCAGAGACCTAATATTGACGTTGAAAATGGCAATGCGACCGTCTTGAATCGTTACTGAAAACATCCTATCTCAAAATGACTCTGCGGTGTGAAGATGTGTTAACAGAATTGTGTCGGCTATCTTGAATGTGGCACAGGTCCAGAATTCGGTATAAGGGGCAAGTCCAATTCTCAAACTTCTGTCTTGGTATGAAAGCAGTGTTATGAATCATATCCCTAATGGAATACCAGCGAATCGAGTACTGTTTTTATAGGTGATTCCCCAAGCTTTAGGTTTAATACACTCGGTCCCGTCTTTAACGGGCATTGTTTCAAGGGATTATTATTAATAACATGTCTTTTCGTGTATACGAACTAGCAATCAACTTGTACACCACACAAGCTTACTTAGGTAAAATAAAATGTAAAATATTTCGTGAATGGCGAATTTAAGATATTCTACTGTTCCAACCGGGAGAAGGCATTTTCTGATATTTCAAAGATTTTGTAGTGCCGTTGTCCCCTAATTCTCATATCTATGTGTCTGTTCGATCACGCGGAACAGTAAAACAACAAAATATCTGTCTCCGTTCTATTTTGGTAGTGGAACGTGTTTATCTCAAAGACTCACAGATTCTATCTTCTAAGCCCACTCTGTACCTATTTACTACCACTTCATATTACCCTTCAATTAATTAAGATCGATCTAATCAAACGTTCTGATGATCAAGATACTGAAGTTACGTTGAACATGTCCTGTGCAATAGTTGGCTACCCGATATTCCTATCTCATAACGTACGTTTTGCGCCTAACACACACGAGGATCTAAAACGTTGCCAAATGTATATTTATGGAAGATATCATATTTTGTTTGAAGGCTAGATTAAGATGTACTCGGTTATCGAATTTAGGATCAACTAACATAGCATACAAACGAAATACAATATGCCTTGTCTACATGGATATCATTTCTTGATATTCCAACCAAGTCGTCAGTGGACACTGGGAACTCTAATCGAACACACCGGCATTCAGGAGCATGACTCTGGACATGAAATCGGGACGAAATTGATGTGGAAATTATGACAACTAAGTTACAGGGTCAGTCCCCGCAGCGGTCGAAAGGTCAAACGACATGTATGCATCACCAAGGCAAGGAATTAACGCTGTTTTGTATATCTTGTGGGGATCTGGTGTGCGCGAGATGCGTCACTTCCGTTCATCAGAGTCACACTATCGACGAATTAGGGAATGTTGTTCCTGGGAAGCGCGAAGAACTTAAAGCCTACATCGACACTACTGGGAACATTCAGCTTCTCCAGCTTAAAAAGGACATTGCGGCAGCCGAAGAGGAACTTAAGAGAAATGCCAGCCGTTTCAAAGATCTTGCCGCTCAAGCCAAGGAACAAGGAGAGAGGCTGAAGACGGAGATCGATATTCTTGTAACCACGTCCGTGGCCCAATGTAAACAGATCGAGGACAAGAACACCAAGCTGATCACAACGTACAAAAAAGAGTTACAAACAAGGCATGACGAGCTCAATAAACAATTACAGGAACAGAAGAAATTGATGCAAAAAGCATCCGACATCCAGATATACGATGCGGAAGTGGATACCTTCTCCAACAAGCCTGTTCCGCCCAGTCCAAACTTACATGTCAGTAATTTTCTGCCGAACAAAAGCCCGAGGAGTCTTCTAGAGCAGGCGCTTGGAAAACTAGAGACGGCTGGTTCTGAGGAGAATGAACGTGAAGTCCAAACTCAACTGCAGCCTCAAAAGAAACAGAAGACCAAACATCCACTAGGACGCCTGTCAAAGAGTCAGCCATCTATTTACAAGCTACCATCCATCTCAGAACATGGTCGGTCAAGCGGTCTCTCCTTCATAAAGAAACCGTTGAAATTACAACACGAAGTGTCGGTTGAGACTAATCCCCCTCCCATATACCGGCTGAAGGGCGAGCCGACAGTCCTGACGGAATTCAAATCGCCATGCAAGATAAGCGCTATATGTTGTACTGCAGAGGGAGACGCATGGGTGTGCTTTGAAGACAACAAAATCATCACTCTCTTGGACCAGTCAGGTTACGTGAAGAAGCAGATCCAGTATCAGATACGTCTCTCTGACGTCAGGATTTCTCCTATAACCCAAAATCTTTGGGCATGTTCTAGTGCAGACAAGAGTGTTATAGAATGGCCACCATCAGGGCTACCCATAATCAAATTCCAGCCCGAGCTAGCTCCAAGATGCATGTGCCTATCTGAACATTCAGGCTTCGTTGTGCTAGGAATGTCTAAGGAGGTTGCGATATTTACTAGCACTGGGAGGATGATCAGTTCCTCCCGAACCGTAATTCCAGGACCGGACGTGAGCTCACCCAAAAGGATCACGGAGTGTCCAGTCACAGGCAACCTCGCCATCGTGGACCAAGATCGTATAGCGGACGGTGGACAGAACAAACGTCACATTGTGATCACTGACGGTAAACTGAAGAAACTTCACCTGTTCCGGGGAGACATCGGCAACGACACCGCTCAGCGCCCATTTAACCCATCAGACGTCAGCTACGATGTGAAGGGCAATATTGTTGTCGGTGACTGCACAAACAAGTCAATTCTGCTTCTTAACGGAAGTGCAGATTTCATCGGCATCTTGGACACGGATACCTGCCACACAGTGGCAGTAGACTTACACGCCGATACGGTATGGGGAGTGCATCGGATGAACAGTAGATATGACGTGAAAATACTGCAATATGCCACTACACATGACGGAGAGGTGGAAGAAAATCCAGACAATGATACGCCAAAGCCAAACTAGTACAGGCACGTATTGTTGTCTTGGCGGGAAAGTGCAGGCACGTTTTGTTGCCTTTGCGGGAAAGTGGTTTTTCCTGCGTTACGGATATAGCAAGCTTCTTGTTCAATGTTGTAGAGGGATTTTATGCAGACTCTACAAAGTCAAGCTGTTTTGTGGATTTACAGAACGTGGCGTGTATATTCCTGGATAACTCACACTTGACTTACCATCTACTCACATTCACCGTTATATACATTTTATGACATTGGGATCATAATTATGGTTTTGTGTTAAGATCGTATGATTTCGATGGAGGTGGATTCGTCTACATTATTCCTATACCAAAGAATTCCACACGTAATACATTCAGTATTTCTATTCTTCTGGAAAACGCCTAGATTCCGTCATTTCCTAGACTATTATCTAATCATGAAAAAATGGATTATCCGTCGAGGAAAAGGTGTTTTTACACTCTGTTCACAAAGATAACTCCGCTAAGGATAGAAATGAGACATTTCCGTTATAACAAAGGCATTGGGTAAATTAGATATTTCATATTGCAGTTTGGGAATAAAACATCAGTCATTTAAATTGTATAGACTATTGATGAATCGCTCTCAAAAGCTTTTAAATAACCCGAGTACATATAATATGATTTTACGCTGTAACATCATGAAAGAGAGTTAGAGGCATGTGCAGAACTTTAGTTAATTCCAATATTCCAATTTAGGTTAAACTTCATAGTAAAGAACACCTTAAATATATCCTTACAATACTTATGAAACGACCACATTCCTTATAAATGAGATGGTATTGAATCGAACACTGATCTATTGTAGATAAAATCTAGTATTTACGTCTTCAATAGTTCGGTCCTATATCAGTTACCAATGATATTGTAAACAGGCACCTGTTACAAGCCAACTTAATATACAGGCATCAAATTACCTTACGACGGGGTATTGACAAACGACAATGTGGAATTTTCAGCCGTAGGCAAGTCGGTAATCAAACAGAAATTTAAATAGTATTTACCCATCCTGTATGATAAAGGGTTTGAACAGAAAAAAATAATAGGGTTTTATATCTACCATAGTACGGTTCGACGATAAGAAAATTTGGTTTCGTAAGAAATATTTTGACTTAATCTTTCTTTCGTTATTTAGTGGCGTTCTTTATTTGGTAACAATGACGAATGTACATTTTACATTATGGTAAATAGTGGATTGTGAAGCAAGCTTATATTTACTGATTTCCCTCAAAATGCTTGAAGTATTTAAAATAGTGGACGTTTTTACCGATCGAAAAGTATCTTTCCAAAATATTATTTTTGAAATAATTTTGTGAGAAAAATATGGATTATTTTTTCCAAAAGTTTATATAGTATGGATTTTTTGTGAGTATATAGTTACTTTCTAGTGTTTTTAGGGGAGGGTTTGGGTAGCTATGAACCATATTATACAAGAGAGGGTTCTCAGAGTCAAGGTCATCGTTACTTACTTTATATAAAGTCCCTGTCCTCGCTCCAGTGGTTTCACTACTTTCTTTTACATAGAACTTCTCACACTTACAAAAGGGACACACGACCTAGGACAAATTCTAGGTTTGTTGAATCAATGTCATATTTATAGTAGCTTCATTCATTGGTAGATTTTCATCAAACCTTTGATCACACTTGACCATTCTTTTCATCTCGAATCAGCCAAGAGGAAACTCCTAGGAGATTTGTATAGTACATTGTACAGAATAATATGAAAACAAAGAATTTTATGATAATGTTTTATTATATCATTTTATCATTCCATCATGGTAAATTGCAACAGGCCAATATAATAAATAATACGACTTTAGTGGAAACTCCAATCAGAATAAGGTATGACAATTAGGTATTGTAAGACTTCAAAAAATATATTGTGAAAGTGACTTTTCCTCCTGGTTCCATCAATATCTTTTGGGGGAAAAAAAAAAAAGAGAAAAAAATTCAATCACTAAAAGACGTGGTTGGAAGATGATGTATGCTTTTGAAAATAGAAATTTGAGGATGGGAAATCTAGACACCACAATACAAATCTTGAATTAAAATCGTCTGTTAGGTTTGCCTCTGTATATTGATCTAGTCTACAGTTTGCCGCAGTTATCTCCCCTCTACTGCAAAGTTTACAAAAAATATTAACTGCCTTCAAAGTTCACCAGACAAAACATATCAAATATGTCAAAGACTGAAAGCAAAACTGTTCTTTATTGCATTCATGATACAAACTGCTTAGACAGCTGTGATCCAAAGACTTCTAAACTTTTTTTACTTAATGTTTTAATACCAATGTGAAGCCGGAAAGTATTTTTTTTAAAAACGTTTATATATTATTTTTATTGTATTCAAATATAACAAAATTCTGAATTTTTTGCTAAAATTCCATCAGCTAAAACATCTATGGGAATTGTTATAGTTAATAGCTATGTTCTGGTCCTGGTACATGTATCTATATTTCACAGTTTAGTGTCATTAACATTGCGCTATTGTCTGTAAATGTCAAGGACACTGAATGTGGGGCTGAACACATTTTCTCAATTAGACTTTACAAACATAAACTAATCTGTTCAATGCAAAAACTTGTGTTTTAAAAATTACATGAAAAATTTTTAGATTGAATTTAACACCTTAAATTAATTTTTTTCTATTTTGCTATGTATTATGAAATACATCTGTAGTATGTGACATATCAAAAATATTTTACAAGTAATGTTTGTCAGAGGCAGTTAAAGAAATGTTTTACGTTTATATTCCATGTTTTCAAATATGGCAATTAGGACTAAGTTCTACATCACTTAAGAAAACGTTGAAGTTTTCAAAAGCCAACATGTCAATATACACATGTGCAGAAATTTCTATGCCTAACAAAGTACTGTGGATGATATACTGTACAACAATACCGAAGAAAAGCTTCTACATAATTCTACACTAAAATGCATCAGCATTGATTACAAGTATACAATACACAGAAGGCACACAGTACATTTCAATGCTTATCCATCTATTTAAAACCATTCCTTTATCTACATTTCTGTTACATGAACTCGGCAACAATGCTGATCATTAACTACATTACAAATTCAATAAAATATTTCAATGTTGACTATTGATGGTGACACTTACATGGTATTCTTACTAGTTCACAACCCTTTAAAGTAAAAACTGAAAAAATATCATCCTGTGTGCCTAACAAGATACATCCTTTTGGAATAACAATTAAGTCGATACAGTGTGCATATAAAATCTACAGAAATCAACCTTTCGAGAAAAAAAAAAAAAAAAAAAAAATTCATTTACTCAAAATGTCCCTTTACATACATCTTCATGTCATTAATTCACTCAAACTTGCAGCTAGTCACATTAATTACAAATTGTTATTCATCATTTTCTGCAACAAGTTGCAAATTACAAAATAAAATGTTACTAAATATATAGGTACATTTATATATGTATATATATTGTACTGGTTAAATCTTTGTAACACAAGTTAGCTTAACTTACATGAAACACTAGAAAAATGTTTATATTGTACAATACATACAACACAAACATGTACTTTTATTATCTAGTCTCCTCTAGATCACTACATCAGATGTGACTGTGAATGTATAGCACAAAGAGAGCCAAGCGCTCAATTCCATATAAAAACTAATTCAAAAATTAAATACATGATTTTACAGAAAACAACTGAATTTATTTCATTCTTTGTTCTAACCTTGTTATCCCCCATCTAATATAGACCATGACCTTCTCCTGATGTTGAATTGTTAGAAATCAAGATTTTTTTTTGAAGATTTTCGCTATCAACCCCATTTCATTGTCACTCCAAGATAATAATATTGTTAACACAATCATGTAGCATCATAACACTGAACAAGTACAAGATGACATCATAGAGACATTATAACTGGAGTTAGGAAAAAAGACATGCCGACATCCAAAGAACTCTCAAAACATTACAGTACCACTGACAGGTGAGAAAAGAAAGTCATGCTGAGTATTCCAAAGACATCTCAACCTCTGTAGCAACATTCTTGAACGTCTTACTCCGTCTGAAGCAAGAATTTCAAAAATATCACCTACCAAGATGAAATTCCTTTGAATACTGCAAGATTTGTTAGTAAATATATATATTTTTGTCGCTAGGCTTTCCTGAGAAAAATTCAACATTGATAAAAATCATATTTAGTGTTACTAAATGTGTAATACTTATATAGGTAAAAAATGTACACTATTCAATTGTATAGGTCTGCTAAAATTACATATATCTGTGTATGAACATACGAATATATAGTGATGGGATGATTGGATATCATCAGTTATCTAATCGTTTAAGCTCAATTGACACAATGATAGATTGTAATTTTTCATAATCGATCATCTGTACCTGAATAGCGTCTTGAGTTTAAGCAGATACAAATTTTATATCACACATAATGATACCAATTGCCAGTAATATTGATTCTTACCAAAGTATTTTAATTCTAGGTAAGTGAGGTATTTCGCATTAAAGTAAAAGAAAATATTACTTCCACAGAGATCGTATTCACTTTCTATGAATATTGAATACAGACAGCTTAATACCACACTGATCATAAATCTACACTGAAAAGCCTATCTGATTTTAACTGATACTTGTTATGGATTTAAACTGATTTTTAATCATCACAAACATGAAACATGAGTTCTCACAGTATGTAAAGTGTACTTATCCAATTATCTGAGCTGCAAAACATAGCTGTAACTATTGGATAACTTGTCAATGTCTTCAAAAATATTGTTTATTTGTGTAAAAGATATCAAGATGTAATTACTATAAGGAAACAAAGCATGGAATCAAAGAGGTATAATCTGCATTTTGATTACCAAGATTTTCAGGACACAAATTCATTGCATACTTCTTTTTTCAAATAATAAAGTCAGAAATAGTTTGATAGAATTATCAAATTGTATTGCACATATCTTCACTTACACAAAAACATACAAACAAAAAGACTGATCAAAACTAAAGCTAATTTCTAAAGGCAAGGCATCAGTGTTATACCAGTCAGTACACCTCAATTTCTACCAATTATGTTTAAGCTGTAGTATGCATTATAAACACATATTCCCTTTGCTCTGTGACCAGTAAACACTCAGTACATTTCTATAAAGATTTAATAATTATAAAATTAACACCTATCACAAGTACATTTCAGTACAAAAAAAATCTGTCTTTTTTTTTTAATATTAGGAAGTATATCACAAAATATAGACAAACTACGACAACTAATATTTGGCATATCGCACTGTGTTGTGTGAACTTTTCCGACGTTTGGTTGGGCCAGTGACAATCTTTTTCTTTCTCTTTGTTGCCTGTTTGAAGCCTGTGAATGGCAAGTCCCCACACCAGTCCTCATCATCGTCATCCTCTTCTGGATTATACCAGTCGTCTTGCAGATTGCATCCCGACAGCAGCATACCTGCAGACATTTGTGACTTTCTCTCAGACTTGCGTGTTGGTAACTGATCCTCTGAATCATTTGGGATGCTTGGACGTGACAAAGCTTTTGATAATTGAGGATATTTATCAGACTTTCCTTTCTGACGTCGACCTGTCTTTGTTGTTGTTGCTGCTGCTGACTGTAGCTTTTGCTGTGCTTTGAAAGCTGCTTCAGCACTTTCTACTTTCTGTACAGCCTTCCTCAAAATGTCTTTGAAATTACTGCGTGCGAATTTAAGTCTTTCCTGTGACGGCCATAAGACAGGTTGATTATTTTCATTGGTGGCAGGTGCAAGAGTTGGTAATGAACTGGTGTAAGATGACCTCAAAGGTTGGTTGATTGTCCCCATACTTAGTTTTCTCTTTGATAACTTGAGAGCCCGCTGAGCATCAGGTTTCATAGGTGTAATTCCAGGCTTATTAGTATCTGATGGGCACAGAATACCTTGACTGTGATCCAAAACTCTTGTGAATTCTTCCTGACCTGGAGGTGTGTCAAATAACCTCATCCTCTCCTTCAGTTTTTTACCTTTTGGAGAGTTCATAATGGCTTTCCCTTTCGGAGAGTTGATAATTTCTTTCAAAGCCACTTTACCTTTCGGTGACTTCAGAATATCATCTAAAACTTGATCATCAAGATCCAAACTAAACAGATTTTCTTCGAAGTTGGCAAAGAAGTCTTTTTCCCATTCTTCAGAGATTCCAACATCTTCATATACAGGTGGTTTCTGTAGATTGTCAACATTGAACTGATCAATATGACGCTGTGATATTGGTTTAACTGGACTAGTCTGTGTTTGAGAAAGTAATGCCATATCTCCAGACGGAATCATTGATCTCTGTACCAAAGGCCCGGGTGAGAGGTAGCCACTGTCATATGTTGTTTCCTGTTTGATGTCTGTTAGCAATGGTATACTGTCCGAGGATTCCTCCTCTTGTAAAATGGACGTCAAGCCCAACATATTCTTTCCAATTATCTGAAATAATATTAAAAAAAATGTCAGTTTCAAAAACATCTCAATCAGATATCAAATGTTATAAATAGTTTACTGCAAATTTAAATGTTACCAACACAAAATTTGATATTTTACTATACATAATTTAACCGATGCATCATACAGATGTTTTTCTTTCAAGCAAATGAATGAAATAATAAAACAAAAAACTGTCAGTGCTTACATGATCGGATTGCATTCTGTTTCATTTTTCCCATATAAAATTGAGATCCCAGAGCGATCTTGGCCCCAACACTTATCTTTATTTTTTTCTAAAGATGTTTTATCCTAGTTTTTTCATCTTTCCTATGCTTTTGCTCTATATTATAAGAAATTTGAAGATTCCTTTATGAAAGAGACAAATGATCTTTAATCGTGAATTCCAAGATGGGTAACTGTCAGCAATTTCGGTTTCCTGATCATTCCCAAAATCTAACAGTTCGGCTGTAATGAATTATTCAAAGAAATATAACAAGAATGTGGGTTATATTAGTGAAGATGAATTCTGACAAAGACCGACCTGAGGCAATGTCTACAGTGTTAACATCGGAACTGTTTAATACAAAAGATGATAATTTTTATGATTTTTATTTGGTGTGGGTATCAATATGCAATGTGCCTAAGACTGTATAAATTCTCTCCATTTATGTCTCGTTTTACCACATATGAGAAATATAGCTGTTACATCTATAAAAGCAATATATTGAATGTCCGACCCCTGTGGTTATACCGCGATGTAGTGGGGCGACATATCTAAAATGGTGTCAAAATCTAGATCTATCGAAAAAAACGAAATAGTATCAAGCTTTATAACAGATTACATTTTAAACGCATTTCAAGATTCTGCTCTCATTTCGATAATACAAATCCATAACAATCAGATATCTTAGTAGCAAATAAACAGATTGACCATGGCTACCATATATATATTACGGGTTTTAATGTCGTGATAAAGAAGACAAAAATACACCCAAAACCAAAACGATGTATACATGAAATCTAGACGAGACTAACCAATACTGATACAAGAATAATTCAATGATGTACAAAGAACGTAATCAACTCTAACAAGACAAATCGACTCGAAACTTCATTGCTGGCGACTCAACATATATGCACGAAACAGCTGTTTTTCCAAGCAGAGATTGTCCGGAAATTGCCCGGAATTTAACCATGAAAATAAAGCATATTTCTACTTGTTTGTCTTTTATCTTACACATACGCACGAATCGTTGACTAATGATTAAGTTTATACCTCTTTTTGTCAAAGATCGGATGGATATTCAGTATAAAAACGCTTCCGAGATTACGGTATTTTCTCTCCCTTCGCAGGTTGGCGCCATCAGCCTCGTTCTGCAGTCAGAAATTATTGGTGGAATTTTCTCGGATATCAACCAATCAAAACCGATTTCTATCGTTTCCGCTGTCCAGAATCAATTTGGCTATATTTAGCTATTTGGAGATGGTATGGATATGATTTCCTGACTAAATGTAAGACCGTTGCTTTCCTAGGATTTTAAGCAGGCTTTAAGCTTAATTAGGAAAAGCACCATCACCTATGAACCCTTATGAAATGTATGCATAAGAATGGAAACCAATCCGGGCGGATGAAATGGGTAAATTCACATGCTTTTTCGTGCTATCAAATGTCACTAGCTTTGGCTTCAATGAAGTACACAAGCTACCGTGATTTCTAGAGTAAACAATAACCAATATTGAGTAGATACAGCCTATATGATAACAGTAGCAATGTTATTTCGTTACCTTATAGCCTACTAGTCGTGAATATAACTCGAAATTTAAGATCTACAGTCCAGCTGAACGTGTCTGCTTGTGCCCTAGATTTAATTGATTATAGAACGGTGTCAACTGCATCTGTCTAGATTTAAAATCATAGAAAAACTGTATTAATTTCTAGTTAGTGACACAGACTATTCAAATAAAGACTTATGTTACTGTTATTTTTTAAAACATCAAATACTCATGAAGATCAATGACGACATTTTACATCATAAATCGAAAATTTCAATTTTTACTTGTAATGAATATTGCATGCAAAAAAATGCAATAATGACATCACACAAGATGTATATCATAACATATCACACTTTTCATTAGTATAGCCCTATAACATATATGAATTCTTACTTTTTACCTGTTTTTTTTTTATTATGAGTACTATCAGAACCAATGCTTTAAACAAAAAGTATGAATTTTACAATACATTATATATTATACCTACTTGTTATGGACACTACAAATGGCCAAAGCTTATGTTAATGAAATCCATAGTTATTTTGTATTAATTGATAATACATACAGATATATAGTAATCAAATTTCACAATCAGCTAACACACTTCTTCAATGGTATACAGTAATATTCCTAGTTATCATCAGTAACATGTAACTATGTTGGAGATCTCAAATTTCCTTGCATTATTTGGATTTGAAGGATTGTTTTGTACACAAAATTTTATGGGAGAAAAAGAAATGCAAAAATTGTAACTATTTGATTTAGTCATTCAATAAACATTGATTTTGCTTCGCATACATGATGTGCAAAAATAAGATTATATACACCGCAAAGGTAGCAAATCAGTTCATCTGCTTTCTTGCTCATAGAATTGTACTTAGTGTATATCAAAAACTTGATATTTGTGGTATGTATTTTAACAAAACTTAATCGACAAAGCAAAGGAACAAAACCTTTCAAATGATATCATAAAACAAAATAATAGTGCCCCAAAATAAACAAACTTCAAAGAAGATAAGAAGAAGAAGAAAAATAAGAATGATTCAAACCCATATTACAATATTCTGGATTTTTAGTGTTATTACATGAACATTATTTTAAAATTTTGTGTGAAATCTATTTATAACTACTATCTTGATATTGATTTGTCTCTAATTATGATAAGCAATACCATAATTAATTGTGAACAACATGGTATTCTTGTTGATATATTTGTACAACAATAATTAAACGGAGGAATATGCATTACACTGAAAATGTTCAACTTCCATGATCTCCAGTTGAATCGTTCTAGAAATAGATAGAAAGAGTAGAGTCTGTCAGTCTTTTCCTTTAGACTTGACAGGGAATATTTTCTGTTTGTGCATGGGCATTGATTTTGTTCCTTCTGAAAGATAATAGTGTATTAGAACTGGTTGGAAGTGTACATGTAAAACATTTTGGGCAAGTGTAACTGAAAAATGTGAGGTTATTAAAGGTACCTGAACTGGGGAATGGTATGAAGATATGAATTATATTCAAGGTCTTTTTATGATCCAACTTATGAACATTTCTGGAGAACAGGTCTGCTTCTTATATGTCATTCTTAAATTTTGAGATATAATTTTGTACATCATATTTAGTGTAAATATGGTTTTTGAAACTATGATCCCTTTAGACATGAAAATGTGACCAAAAGGCTTCAAACACATAAATCAGGTTCTGTAGGTTTTCTTATCTGAAAATTTTATCATAACAAATTGATATAATATTTATATTTTTCGGTTTCCTTAAATTTTTGTATATTTTCAGATGGCCAGATGAAGACCTCTCCAGTCTTGACCAGTCACAGTATGGGATAACACACCTCAAAAAAACATGAATTTACCAGAATGAGGACCTATAAGGAGCCTAAGCGGATTGATAAGCCCCGTGTGCGGGAGCCAGGAATTGTCAATCCTGACTATGTGAACCGCATAGCAGCAAGTTATCACCAAAAAAATAATGTTATTCCAGATGGAAGCAGCAACAATGAAATGGATCCCTCAGGAACTAATCATCACTGTGACGATATCAGCAGTCCTAAAGGCAGTGACGATGGTGCCACCTGTGCAATGCAGGAAGAGGAGATAACTCATGGACCTGATGTGGAGGAGGCAGAGAATGTACATTGCAAAGAACTGAACAAATGCAAAGATTTGGGTAATTGTCTTGGACAGGAGGTCAGTCCTTTGGGTGATGAAGAGGCATGTGACAAGGAAAGAGAGATGTTGACAGAGGAAAAAACAGTACTCTCTCCAATACCACCTCCTGACTGTAAGACTGAAGATGTAGAACAATCAGTGAATAATGTAATTGTTAGTGAAAAAGCTGATATACCAGCTACAAGCACTCAGATAAATAGCAATAACACCACAAAAAAGAAAAAGACAGCTAAACCAAAAACTCCAAAACCAGAAAATTCTGACACAAAGAAGCCTGTGAAATCAAAACCTGGAACAACCAAAAAGAAAACATCACCAAAACTTTCAAAGTCTAAAGATACAATCCACAGTGAGTTAAACGGCACTGATGAACTCAAAGAGGAAATTGATAGCATGGAGCCTGCTGTACTTGATCCATCCCCACCAAAGAAAAAGAAATCCATTAATAAATCATTGCCTTCCAAAAAATCTCAGAAAAAATCATCAAAATCAAAAGTAGCTATTGAAAACAATGTTGAAGAGTTGCATAATGATGTGGACAATGATGATTTGGATACTTCTAGTAAATCAGATGCTTCTTCACCAAGAGTTTCTAAACGTACACCAAAGAAAAACAGGAAATATCATAGTGAGGAGGAAAATGATTGGCCAGTAAAGGAGGATTCAGAATCTGGTAAAAAGAAGGATGTTGTCGGCAAACCATCAGTCATGAAAAAGTCCCCTATCAGGAAAAGAAAGCTTCTGTTTGAGGATGATGACATTGAGGAAGAAGAGAATGTAGAAGCAGTAGAGCCAGTACCTGAGGAAGTAATAGTGAAAAAACCAGTTAAGAAAAAACGTAAAAAGGCAGAAGGCAAAACAACAGAAGCAAAAGCAGAAATGACAGCTGATTCATTAACAGAGTCTACCAAGGAAAGCATTGTTGTTGAAGGTGGTGCGGAGGATGCAAAATCAGAAACTGTCCAGAAAAAAGGGAAAAAACCAAGGAAGAAACCTGCTGCTAAAAAACCAAAGACAGCTGTTAATGAGAATATTCCTCCAACAGATATCGCTAATGGAGGAAACAATGTGAGTAACTGTTTAGATAGAATAAGCCAAGAGGACAGAGTTCTTGCCACTGATAATGACAGTATTGAACAAAAGAACACAGAGGACGGTGAATCAATGGACAGTAAATCAAATCCTCCTGTCTGTAAAAAAGAGACATCTGATGTAAAAAAGAAAAAGAAAGCCATCAAAAAACCGAAAATTACACTGAAAGAAGAATTAGAAAAGAACACTGACGTTACAACAGAGGAGTGTAGTAGTTCCGTAGTGAAAAACGAGACAAGTGGGGAAATACAGGATAAACCAACGGATGTGAAACCAGTAGAAGTGAAAAAGAAAGCTACTAAAAAGAAAAAGAGCATTATTCAAAATCAGGAAAGTGGGCATGATGATAAGAAAGACCTTGATGGGAAGAAAGAAATTTCCGAAAAAGTAGAAAAAGAGGAAGATTCTCTCAAAGAAGTGAAAGAGGAAAATAAAGAGACGGATGCAGCTGAGAGTTCATCTCAGTTGCCAGCTATTCCAGTTGTAAAGAGGCCCCCAGTGGTGATCACATGTCAGCACTGTGGTCATGTATCTCACAGCAAGGGGGCCAACACTCGCCATCTGCGGAAGTGTGTGGTCAGCATTCTTAAGGGGGAGGGGCCAATGTCTCCCACAAGGGCCAGCTCCAGTGGGGTTGAGTCGGAAAATAAGACCAATGGACCGGCTGAAAATGAGGAGAACATCAAGGATGTGAAAGCTACTATGTTATTGCAAAACCAGGAGATAAAAAAGATAGAAACAGGCACAGCTGGGGAGGCTCAGTATAGGTGTCAGCATTGTACATATGCAACACCAAAGCGGGCCATGCTAGCTCGCCATATGAGGACTCATGGTATTTATGTGTGTTTGCGATGCACATTTATTTCAGACACTCATGACAGCCTCAAGGACCATTGTCACAGGGAGCACAAGGACAGAACAGACTTTAAGTTGTGTCGAAAGTGTAGTCGTTACGTCAAATGTACAGAAGTAACCTTGGAGAAACACATGGAGGAATGTGCAGGGCCGGTCCCTTTCATATGTACTCACTGCAGCAAAGAATTCAAATATGAATCATCTCTCAAATCCCATATCATACGCCATAATCCAGATGCACCAAAACGCTTCCATTGTGAAAAGTGCAGCTACGAATCGAACTACAAAGCCAATCTTAAAAAGCATATGGCTAATATCCATGGGGAAAAGGTTAAGCATGTGCGTTGTGTGCATCCAGATTGTGAGAAAATGTTTTACACTGAAGACAGTATGCGAAGACATTTAAAATGGCATTCAGAAGAGCGACCTTTTAAGTGCCCAAATTGTGACAAACGGTTCAAAACAAACACTGCCCTAAGAGGACACAAGGTGATACATGACCCCTCTCGCCCATTTAAGTGCAATATCAATGATTGTACAAAGGATTTCCGATCCAAGAAACATTTAAAAAATCATCAAGAAGAATTCCATCAAATTGCTGACAAGAAATTTATGTGTAGTCAGGAAGCATGTACATTTGCATTCTTCAAAAGGAGCCACTTAGAACGTCATCTCATCACACACACAGGTTTGTGTCTATTCCAATGTTGCATATATAGCTTTCATCTTATTTGTATTGCCCAGAGATCAGAAGATCATTGTGGAATCTTTTGTTTCAAAATATTCATCACAATTGATTTATCTTCGTCAAGGAAAGAAATTCGCTGAAGTTGAACAAGGCCTCTTTCCACATGCTCTTTTACAAATTAGCTAAATTTAAAATAATTTCATACAATTACTAATTAAATTTTTTTTTTGTACATACATGATTTTTTTTTATAAATGTATAGACTGCTACCTATATATCTGAAATGTTACCTACAATGATAACCTTCACACCTACTGATTACATCAGTGATCTCCTTCTCACCTGTTATATCTAACATCAATACCATTCTCACCTGTGATATCTAACATCAGTGATAACATTCTCACCTCTTGTATCTAACATCAATACCATTCTCACCTGTTATATCACCTGTTATATTTAACATCAATGATAACATTTTCACGTGTTATATCTAACATCAATAACATTCTCACCTGTGATATCTAACATCAGTGATAAAATTCTCACCTCTTGTATCTAACATCAATACCATTCTCACCTGTTATATCTAACATCAGTGATAACATTCTCACCTGTTATATCTAACATCAATACCATTCTCACCTGTGATATCTAACATCAGTGATAACATTCTCACCTGTTATATCTAACATCAGTGATAACATTCTCACCTGTTATATCTAACATCAGTGATAACATTCTCACCTGTTATATCTAACATCAATACCATTCTCACCTGTTATATTTAACATCAGTGATAACATTCTCACCTGTGATATCTAACATCTGTGATAACATTCTCACCTGTGATATCTAACATCAGTGATAACATTCTCACCTGTGATATCTAACATCTGTGATAACATTCTCACCTGTGATATCTAACATCAGTGATAACATTCTCACCTGTGATATCTAACATCTGTGATAACATTCTCACATGTTATATCTAACATCAGTGATAACATTCTCACCTGTTATATCTAACATCAGTGATAACATTCTCACCTGTTATATCTAACATCAGTGATAACATTCTCACCTGTTATATCTAACATCAGTGATAACATTCTCACCTGTGATATCTAACATCAGTGATAACATTCTCACCTGTGATATCTAACATCAGTGATAACATTCTCACATGTTATATCTAACATCAGTGATAACATTCTCACCTGTTATATCTAACATCAATACCATTCTCACCTGTTATATTTAACATCAATGATAACATTTTCACGTGTTATATCTAACATCAATAACATTCTCACCTGTGATATCTAACATCAGTGATAACATTTCTCACCTGTGATATCTAACATAACAGTGATACCATTCTCACCTGTTATATCTAACATCAGTGATAACATTCTCACCTGTTATATCTAACATCAGTGATAACATTCTCAGGGTTTTCCATAATTTTGTTAGTAGTAGGCTGTGTAGTGAAAGTAGGAGGCTGGCCTGCCATGTACGTGTAGTCATGTACGGAACATTATTACGGAACTGGATTGGTGTAGGCGGGCAAATGATCAAAGTAGCCGGTCAAATTGGCCGGTGACCGGCTCTTCTGGAAAACCCTGCATTCTCACATGTTATATCTAACATCAGTGATAACATTCTCACCTGTTATATCTAACATCAGTGATAACATTCTCACCTGTTATATCTAACATCAGTGATAACATTCTCACCTGTCATATCTAACATCAGTGATAACATTCTCACCTGTGATATCTAACATCAGTGATAACATTCTCACCTGTGATATCTAACATCAGTGATAACATTCTCACCTGTTATATCTAACATCAATACCATTCTCACCTGTGATATCTAACATCTAACATCTGTGATATCTAACATCTGTGATAACATTCTCACCTGTGATATCTAACATCTGTGATAACATTCTCACCTGTTATATCTAACATCAGTGATAACATTCTCACCTGTTATATCTAACATCAGTGATAACATTCTCACCTGTTATATCTAACATCAGTGATAACATTCTCACCTGTCATATCTAACATCAGTGATAACATTCTCACCTGTTATATCTAACATCAGTGATAACATTCTCACCTGTTATATCTAACATCAGTGATAACATTCTCACCATAATTTTGTTAGTATAGGCTGTGTAGTGAAAGTAACATCATGTACATCAACTGGATTGGTAACAAATGTCAAAGTATAACATTCTCACCTGTTATATCTAACATCAGTGATAACATTCTCACCTGTTATATCTAACATCAGTGATAACATTCTCACCTGTGATATCTAACATCAGTGATAACATTCTCACCTGTGATATCTAACATCAGTGATAACTTTCTCACCTGTGATATCTAACATCAATGATAACATTCTCAGCTTTTATTATATTGTCAGTCAGAAGACGCCTTTATTTTTTTGAACATACCGGTAATGATTTGTTTAGTATGTATTCCCATGTCATATTATTGGTTAGCTTAGGGAGGGCAATTGGCCAGTGTACCAGTTGCCAGAACCCATTTTGTTTCTGTCACTATCGAGTTCCATCTTTAAATCATGGTCACTCCGACTTACATTTTGATCATGAAATGCATCAAGGAAAAGGTTTTATCAGGCATTGAAGTATTGATATAAGAAGAATATTACAGAATCATTTACATTTCTACCACCTGATTTAGTTAAATCATGAAATGCTATGGAATACATGTCATCACATGTGATTTAATTGTAATATGGCACCATTTGTTGATGTATACATCCAGCAGATTTATTAGCAATAGTAGCACCAATAATATTGAATGGGATGGGTCTGTCAAACATTAAATGTCTATAATTAGTTCCTTGGTGTATAATGTCTCACTCAGTAGGGGACTGTCAAATTGTAAAATTGGAGAATTTAATTGTGGAACAGTAAAACTTATTCACAGGGTGCAGGTAATTCATCATTGTCTGTGATGACTCTAGATCTGGGAAAGGCATAACAAACATCTTGTTTACTACATTATCCACAAAGAAAAAAGATGTAATCTTCAGGGTCTTGTATTCATTTTCATGTTATTGGATGGGGAAGGAGGAGGGAGGGGGGGGGGGTGTCAGCTGGCATATAGTGAAGTTATCCATACAAATATATATTTGTGTCCTGTCTTATCCAATGGCGTTCTGTCCTGAATAAATGCCATATCTTAAGAATTTTTCAACAGATACAAAAAAGGTTTACATACTCATATCCATGGGAGTGAGGATGTTGATGTACATGTTACATAAATATTGTTTAACTAATGTTAATTTATCTATTTCCAATGCAAATAACCTTTTTTTGCTTTATTTCAGGTGAAAGGAAGTTTGGTTGTCGTATCTGTGGTAGAGCTTTCCGACATGCGGACAATTTGAAAATTCACATGCGACAGCACACAAATGAAAAACCAGTTAAATGTGACTTATGTGATTTTGCATGTCGACAGAAAAGCTCACTACAGTATCACTTGCGTAAGTTCCACAATATCATCCCTCCCTCCAAAGAAGCCTCCAATCACGTGGTAGCCATTGATGGAGTTCGAAAACCAGCTTCTGCCACAGTTGGCAGTGCAACTGGTACAGATAGCAATGGCTCCCAACAACCAGAGAAGAAGCCTCTGTCTCCTGTCAACAGATCTCAGAACCCAATGGACCTGTACGAGTTTAAGTCTGATGACGAAATGGACAGTGATGCACTGCTGCCGCTGTTCCAAGACAAGTCTCTCAAGTCGTTCAGGGTCAACAATGTTGACAAGAGTGAGAACGAGAAACCTGTTGTGACAGAGAACAAAGATATGGACAAAGATACTTCACCTGACCTGCCTAAAAGCCAAGAGTCTGGTATTGATGTGCCAGTAGTCCAAGAGAGTTTTGACCAGCCAACAGATCAAGAAAACATTGACTTGACAGCAGGTAAAGAAAGCACAAAGGATGAACAACAAAAACCAGAAACAGAAAAGAAAAAGGTTGTTAAACGGAAAAAGAAACCAAAAGTTGTAAAAGTGGAGGAAAAAGAAGAGGAAGAGGAGGTGAAATCAAAGGAAGAACACAAAATGAAAGTTGAAACTGAGGAGGTTGGCTCTTCAAGTAGTATAGTTCCTGGACCATCCGATGTTGTGGCTGAAGATGTGTCTGAGGATGTAACTGAGGTAATGAAAGCCAAACCAAAAGGAAAGACAAAGGGCAAGAAAAAATATACTCCAAAAGGCACATCGCCAAAGGCAGCTTCTCCTAAAGGCACCTCACCCAAGGCAGTCACTCCTAAAGGCACAAAATCAACCTCCCCAAAATTAACCACTCCAAAATCTTCAACACCAAAAGCTTCAACACCAAAATCTAATACACCTAAATCACCAAAAGCAGCAGTTTCAAAGGCGGCTGTATCCAAAGCTGCGAAAGGAAAGAAAGCACCAGCCTCCAAAAAGGGTCGGAAAGCTAAAGTAGAGCAAGAGGAGGAACTACCAGCCAAATCAGAAACAAAACCAGCACCAAAACGATCTCCTCGAACCAAAGCTGCCGCGTCCAAAAAGAGCCCTGGTAGTAGGAAGAAACCAAAGGCCAAGAAAAAGAAAAAGGAACCAGTAGTTGCAGAGGATCTGGATGAAACTGATGAGTATCGTGAGGATGATGATGAAGGAGAGGAAAAGGAGAAAGACAGTTTTGATCTACCATGTAGAGACCAAGATAAAGTGATTGAAGAAAGTAAGGAGGTAACTGACTTGGGCGATCCAGCTTTTGTTGATGTGATTAAATATGTTGAAGAACATGGCATGGGTAATGTTTCAGAGTCAGAGAAGCCAGAACAGCCAGCACAGGAAGTTGATGAGGATTTAGTTCCAGAGAAATCTGAAGAGAAAGTAGAAGAAGAGGATATTGGAGAAGATAGTGTAGATATGACACCAGCAGAGAAACAATCAAAGGAAGAAGAAGAGGTAACAGAGACAGTATTAGATTCTGCTGTTCCTGTAGCTGAGCCTCTCTCTGACGTACAAAGTAAGGTGGATGAGGACAGTGACAGGATAAGCAGTGGTATAGACACAGACTTTGAGGAGGAGCTCAAGCCTCCTCCGGCTCCTCGCCCCCCTCCAGTTGTAGACAGTGATGAGGGGGACATAGAGTCGGGACCAGAGGATATAGACACACCAGGGAGGGACTTTGAATCCACTCCACCAAAGTCTGTGGCCAATAGTGAGAACATCCACAGTGTGCAGAGTCATTCCGGAGGAGAGCCACGTCTGGAAAGTGACTTTGGGGACAATATATCCCAGCCTTACAGGCGCTCAGAGTCACAAGCTGACAGTGGGACAGAGGTTAAGAGGGATCATGATGCTCTCGATGCTTTGGCTGTTACTATATCCAAGACTGAGCCTGATGATCTCTCCAAACAAACAGCTCTGGCAGAAGGAGTAGCCACCTCTGTTGTTACTGGTCCTGCAAATGGAGACTTTGGGGGCTCACAATCCGAGTCAACCATGCCAGAAGTGGACAAAGAATACCTTGGTCAGTATCTGCAGCAGTTTGATTCCACTGCACGTTCTGAGGACGAGGTATCTCGTCTAGACAGATTAGACACAACAGGTGACAGAGCCATAGACATTCCGTCTACTCCCCAGGACAAAGACTTACCTCCCCTTAACCTCAGTGCTACAGCACCTCCTCTTAACCTGACAACAACTCCAGAGATTCCTCCCGAGGAGATCCAGTCTCAGCCTGTTCAAGGCACTGACATGTCTAACAAACGCATGGAGATCTTGGAGTGTGATAGGCAGCATGAGAACCACTATCAACCCAGCCGCAGTGTCAGCCCTCTGCGGCCATCAGAAAGAATCCCAGACAATGTGTATGACAGTCTAAGTGCTATCACTTCGTACATGCCAACCCCAACTCCCACTCCTTCTACCAGGGAAACGCCAGTCATTAGACAGACTGAGAACATATTCCCTCCTGTTTCTGCCAGCACTTCTACCACTACGACCTCCTCCTCCTCCTTCATGCGCTTTGCAGAGAATGATGCTTTGTTACAACGTCAGAGGATGACTACTCCCTTCCTTGCCCAAAGTGATCCAAACGCATTACAAAACCTTCATCGCATGGCTGATTCTGCGCTTGCATCACATTCAAACTCTGCATCATTGCTGCGGCGCCCTACAACTGTACCTCCACGTGAGGACATGTTTCCAGGTCCAGCAGCAGTGACGGCGCAAACCATGGCCAGGAATCCATTCAACTCATGGGCTGGTGTAGCTGGGCAGGAAGTACGGCCTGCTCACTGGTCCCAACCACCATATCTTCAGCGGGACCGTCCCGCAAACTCCACATCCTCCCCACTTTTCACCAAGGACAACTACCTCAGTGGGCGAGAGTTCATGTTTGATCCTTCTCGACGAAGTGTTGCAGAAAGAAATATGTTCCCCGGATTAACTCAGTCGACAACTCGCCCAGAATTACCACATGAAACATTTCCCATGGAGAGATTTGATTTTGGTTATTTTGGCAGTCATGGTTACCCAACTGCACCTGCTTTACAGGAGTACACACGCACACAGTGTGGCACAAGCCAGAAGTCGTTAGAGGAGAGATATCGTCAAACGGCCTCAGGAATCACTGACTTTTCACGTGCTTTTCCTCAAACATCCACGTCGGAAATGTTCAGTAGTATTAATATGAACACATCATTTAATTTGGACAAGTATATGTACAACCGTGAGCCTATTTATCATCCACAACACATGGGGGACAGCACCAATAGCCCGTTTCTGCCCCATGGGGTGGCTCCTCAACACACCATGTTTGACCGTGACTACCCTCCACGTGGATTCTATCAGAACAGCCCTTATAGCTTTGTGAACTCTATGAATGATAAGCAATATGCAGCTGCAGCAGCTGCCTCCGCAAAACTTACACATCCTACAGGGTCAGGGGTCACACAGGATCGGGACTTTGTGCCTCGTCCAAACACTGGGGCTGCAGCAGCACCAGATAACCAGATTCAGGACCCCTATAGGAATCCACTCTTGTACAATATGATGAACCGCTACTCTTTTGAGTGATTTGGTGTGTGTATGTTTCTGTGATGTAGTCAGCTCTGATCAGGTCCTCAAGACCACCATCCCTGTCCACGCCAAGTCTCTCAAGCACTTGTGGAGTCTGGTGTACAAAATATAACAGCTGTGTTGTCTTTCTCTACACATCAGAATATATTTGAGATTTACATGGAAACGTCCAGTGACTGTATCGATGCCCAAGATAAAATTCTTGGCATTAATTGTCATTTGTTGTCATGTTGCATTACATTTACTCATCTGAGGACCATCAAGGCAAACCTGAACTCAGAGGTCAACTATGAGAAGGTCAGCTATCTCTGAAGTCCGAGATTGATCATCTCTTTCTGAGGCCAAAGGTCAATCGTCTCTTGCTGCAAGCAGAGCTGGATCTCTCGATACATCGGAGTTTGGAGCCAGATAATCACTAAATCTTATTTTTTCACATTTCACGTGGATGTTCCACATCACCTTCTAAAACTTACCACATAATGTACATTTAGCAAATGAAGATCTGGAGATTTTTCATTGTTACATTATTATGTAATAACTCAATATATTTATCACCAGAATTTGACCTGTGAGGGAATATGCTGTATATGTTCATGTGACGAAGAACATCTTTGTGGAATCTGAATGTGTTTTAGTGGTTAATCAACAACATTTTTTTTTTTTGTGAAATTGAGGTCCAATACCGAGGGTCATATTAATTGTTCATATATATGTATGTTCAGATATCATTCGTTTCCCAATGTGTTTAAGTCTGTGACAGAGGAGTGTGCAATCTCTGCTATTTTAATGGTTGTGTATGAATGTTATTTTTTCGGTTTGTTTGGTACTTACAGAGAATGTTCGAAATTGACCAATATTGCTCCACCTCCTTTTTTCCGGCAATACTCTTTTGTTGAACAAGTATACTCTGCCAAAAGTTAAAAAAGAAATGTTTTGTCAAATATTTTTGCATCGCTAAAAAGAGGGATCAAGACAGCAAGAAAATTTACTTTAAATTATCCACCAGTGTTTTTTTTTTCTTTATTTTTGAAAATATTTTTAGAAATAATCTTTCAAACTTGTTTCTTACCACTTTGAAATTATTTTGATGTATCTTAGAAAGTTGAATTATTGAAAATTAATGCCATTCGTTAAAAGCATATTTCTGATTGAAAGTTTAGTCAGTGACCCAATGGAAAAGCAGTTTCAATTCAGGATTTGTTTCTCAACAGTGTATGAGAATGAATACATGTCATGTACGGAAATGGGAATAAGTACTTGTTATGTACTGAATCTTATACCAAATACAAAGTTATTTCCCTTTGTAAATTATTCATACATGAAGTGAAGTTTGACCGCTCTTGAAATACTCGAACTCTTTCCTAGAATAAAAATGAGCTTTTAGTTACACATCTCTTTTACAGAGATTAAAGGGTTAAAAGAGATCAATTGGGGTGATTTTTTTCTCCTTCTCCGAATATAAATGTATGTTTAGAACTTATATTGAAAGAAAGTGCTTGCACTTCTACATCTCAGCAGTAGTGTTAAGAAATACTGCCTCTGTTAAGATATCTATGAAGAATTCTTCATTCACGATATTTTTTGTGAGATTTTGTTTGGTTTATCAAAGTATAGACTACCAATATAATGAGTCAAAAATTTGTTGAATAAGATTGATCTAAAAAGAGTGTTTTAACAGTTTTTTTTCTTTCCTCTATTACTATTAAGGCTTTTTAACGTGGAAATTCAATTATTTATGCACCGAGTATTTGAATTCAGTTCAAATTGATAGTGACAATTTGTTCTCAATGGAGTTGGCTTCTCTGATACAAGGGAAATATCAGTAACTTGTATCATATGATGTTAGTGCCTAGCATAACAAGCAAACATTTCCACAATCCTGTCACAGGTATTTGAATTAAATATTGAAAAATTTCAACTATGGAAAGTGTCAAACAATATTTTGTATCTGTTTTACTCTAGATGTAACTGTAAAGATGTTGTGATAAATTTTCATACTTTTAGTTGTATGCAAGTATATGAAAGGCAGTTGTGATTGACAGCAAGAACGTATGATGTGTATCAGCCTTGAGCATGTGCTGCTAAGAGGTGTGTGTAATTGAAGGATGAGTGTTTCCGATGGTGTGTAAGAGAAAGGAATGTGCATTTCTCACCAATGATGTGCATCATGGAAGAGTGAACATCTTCAAGGGATGTATCAACAAAGGTGTTGTCACTGAGGGACAAGAATCATCAAGGAAAGTGACACCAATGATGTGTGTCACAGAGAGGTGTGCATCTTAAAGAGATGTGTCACCATTGTTATGTGTCATTGAGAGATCTGCATCTCTGAGAAATGTGTCATCATGGTGTGTGTCAAGTGTACATCTCTGACATGTGTCACCAACCAATAGTTTGTGTACATGTCACAGGAGGCTGTGCATTTCCAAGGGGTGTGTCGTAAATGGTGTGCATTTCAAACAGATGTGTCACAAAAGGGTTGTGAATATCTCCCAAGGAGTTTGTCACCAATTTTGGTGTCACAGAGGGGATTTTATCTCAAGAGGATGTTTCACCCATGTTGTAACAAAGTTAAGTGCATTTTCATTGGATGTGTCATCAATGGTATGCGTCTCCAAGGAATGTGTCACTGATACTATGTGTCATGGTGTGTACATCTGCTGCGAGGGATGTGTCACCAACCAAGGATGTGTGTAACAAAGGGTTCAGCTTCTCTGAGGGATGCATCATCAATGCTGTACATGCCCAAGTAATTTGTCAGCAATAGTTTGTGTCCTTGATGGGTGTGAGTCTCCAAGAGACATGTCATCAATGGTTTATGTCATTTAGGGGAGTGCATCTCAGAGAGATGTGTCACCAACAAACTGAATGTGTCACAGAGGGATATGCTTCTTCAAGGTTTTTAGTGTGGTGTATGTGTCTAAGTGCCGAGTGTACAATGTATATCACTGAGAAGAGTGAGTTTCTGGGTGATGTGTATACAAGTTATTGAGGAGTGTGCCAAAGGGCCACATACCTTCATCAAAGGAAGTGTGTGAAGTTTGCATTGCACAACAGTGTTTTTGATGTGTGAATGTGCTTGTTGAGGATTTCACCAGGAGACTTATGTAATAGCACTGGCCAATCAGGGCATGTACATACACCAAATATTGTATGTACATTTTGATGCAGCAGATCTTCAATTTGATCAGATTTTTATGACTAGGATCTTTAATTATGTGTATATGATATTGTGCAAGATATATAATTTGCATTATGAATTGCCATTAATATGTTAAATTGTAAATATATATTTTTTCTCTTTTAAAATGTCAGTGGTGCCATTGAAAGTTGTATTTAAGAAGTGAAAAATCATGTTTTGTGAAATTATTGCATTATTTACTGACTTTTCTCATGAAATGTAATTTTCCTTTACAAAAGGCATATATTCATCCATCATAAGAGAACAAAGAGGTGTAAATACCAATATATATATAATATCCACTTATCACCATGACAACAGTTCTGCTATAAATAGATGTCCTGCTGCCATGTTCTCAATTTCAGCAATTAATTTTGACACATAGAGTAAACTATATATCACATTTGTCTGTATATAAGTAAGGTAATTTGCAAGGGATTGATGTTGAATATCGAGTCTTGTGTATTTGGAAGTGCTGAACCTTTTCATGTGAAGGGTTGTGTTGAAGTGCCCAGGTTTTCGAACAGTGTTTTCCTACTTCGTACAGTGACAAGAACTGTTTTGTAGGTTGTGACTTATACTAACCCATGAATGTAATTTTGTGAGTCTTGGCTCATTTTAACCTAAGAGAAAAAAGCTACAATGCATCTCCTAGATAGCATGTTCACAATTTAATGTGACTTTCGTGTAGGGTTATAATTTGCCAAAATTGACAAAAGAAAAAAAATTCAAATTCCTGTGTTTGTATAGTCTTGAAATGTATTATAGTGTTTTGGCTGGGCTCATTGAAACCTTCTCTAGCATTGTGTTATTGGAGAATTTTACCCTTTTATACATTGTCAGAATCCTGAGTTTTTTAATCATGACGTATGATGTATAGAAATTATGGTTTGTATGTTGAAAACTGTTGCCAAGTTTATTTGAAATCCAGCAATTGTAATTTTTGTACGAATTTTGAAGATAAGACTTACAATATAGATTACCAAAGGCATTGTCCACTTAGGGACAGGCACATGTACTATATCAAGGGGAAAAATGACTGAAAGGTTTAAACCACAAGGGAGTGGGTCTAAAAATCTACACAATATAAAAACTGAAGGATGATATGTACAGCGTTATGTAGTTGGTGTCTACATAGATATACAAAGTAGGGTTCAATACATAGAGCTGTTGAGGAAATCGAAACGGTGTCAGGACTATGATCTTATTCAATGTTTGACTGAAAAAATAAAAAAAAAACAGCATAGATGGCATGCGTATGGATTGGTTATCTAAAAAAATGTTATAGCAAATAGTTCAGATTAATTGAAGGAAATAAATTTGCCTGTCAGCAAGCTTTTTTAAGTCAGTTAGTTTGCCAATCAGCAGATGCTTTATAGATTCTTATTAACAGTTTGCAATATCAACACAAGCCTAGGATAAAGGGTATGTGATTTTATTAGGACCGTGCCATTTTGTTAGGATAACATTTCGGCGATAAATTTAATGTTTCTATCACATTTTAAAAAGATTTAACAGTGTTTTTATCAGGGGTGTTGAATATTTTATGTTGTACTTTTATCACAATTTCAATGTAATTATTTTTCACTTTACCTAGTGAAGGTTCTTTTGCTAAATATGTACTTTGATTCAAATGTAGGTTTTCCCCACATCTTGGGATAGCCATGTCCAAGGAATAATGCAATAATTTGTTTTTCTCTTGCAAGGATGAAAAAATCAAAACTAGTTTGCTAATCTAAACTCAGTATGTTGTTTTTGCATGCGAGACTTATGGTATAGATGTTAACATAATATTGTATTAGATTGTAGATCCCAT